ATTTTGCCTCAGTCGAACCTTTTGAAAAACATGAATTAATTTTTGGGGGTACGTTACATAAAAATGGAAAATTTTCATAATTTTCTCAAAAGCGGTTCCAAATTATTTCTTTAAATTTATTGAAAGAATGGAGTAAAATACACGTATAAAGGTGGCAGAGGCCCGATTTTCAGGGTTTAACTCGGAATTTTCGAAAATTTCAAAAGTTTGAATAATTTCCGGCGTCTTCATGTAATTATTTGAAGATAGAGATTTTTCTTTCAAATGGAATTTGTTGTTCATAATAATTTCTTTCAATAAAATCATGTAAATTTTTGAAGTTTTCGAGAAATATTACATGAAATATGTACAATTAAAAAAATACAAAAACAAGATTTTATCCAAAAGGCTCCAAATATTTTCTTCACACTTTTGGGAGGGATAGTTCCAAATGCACTCTACAAGATGACATAAACGCTGTATTGCTCTTCTCTTTTGTTTTTCAAGAGATACAATTTTAAAAAATGGATTCTCTCACCTTATTAATATTTACATTAGCGACAATTTATTCATTTTAATGTACTTATGAGAACATGCGCTTTAAATAATGTCATAAAATTTCAAGGGAACTCAACAGTTTTCTGTGAAAATGAGCCCAAAATTCCGCAATTTCAGAAACGCTCAAACGTCATTTTTTCAAAACGGCTTCAAATATATTCTTCAAACTTTTCAATAGGATAGTGCTAATTGCACTCTTAATATGAGGTACAGTATATTTCGTGTTATTTTTTTATTACACAAATTTTGTTTTTTTTTGATCTCTCACGCCGTTAATATGCACATTTCCAACAATTTGTAAACACTATTGTTTTTTGTGAGTTAAAGTGCTTCAAATCAGTGTTTTCAAAAACTCAAAAATTGTCTGTGAAAGTGGTTCAAATTTCGAATTGACTGTAGCACTTAAGCGCCATTTTCTTAAAAACAATTTCAAGTTTTTCAAAAAACAAAACAAAACAAAAACATTTACTTCGATGTTATACTGTTTTTTAATAATCTTAAAATAATATTTCCGTTGTATTAGGAAACCAAAAAATTAAGAAAAATTCAAAAAAATTTACTTTGGGCGGCGATAGAAGGCAGAACTACCTGGCAAGTTCAAAGCGCTAGCTTCAAAGGAAATAGAAAACTTATATGGGAACTCCGCCATTCTGTAACATCACAAGTTCTTAATAAAATCTTGCTGAAAGGCAGACCTTGAAATATGGTTAAGAACACAAATTTCAGAAAATGTGTGTAACTTCGAAGTAATTTTGCGTGAAATATAAACAATTATTTTCTCAAAAAACGATTCTATATTTTCCTCGTACGTACACATAAAAATGATGTGAACAAATTTGCTGCCAATGTAAATATTCATGACGTGAGAGACAAGTCAACAAAATTACATTTTTGTAATTTTTGAAACAACAACAACAAAGGAATAGAGCACTATGGCGTTTATGTCATCTCATAGAGTACATTTAACACTATCCCTTCCAAACGTTTAACGAAAATAATAGAGCTGTTTTTGAGAAAATCTTGTTTTTGTAATTTTTTTTTAAATTGTAAAGGTTGCACTCAATATTGCGCCAAAACTACTAAATGTTTCAAAAAATATATAAATGACCTTAATGAAAGAACTAATTATCTTCTTCTTCACTTCACGGATTAGGCTCATGACCTGTTCCGTTTTCACAAAGCATTCATTTCCATCTTTTCCTCGGTCTGCCTGTATTTCTTGTACCACGAGGATGATAGTTATAAACTTTTTTGGGTATTCTTGTTTTTTCCATTCTTCCTATGTGTTCTTTACATCTCTCTCTGTATTCCTCTATTTCCCCATTTATAGCTTCTATTTTTAATTCCTGTCTAATGTCATAATTTTTTATCCTGTCAGATGCAGTACATCCTTTTACTCTTCTTAAAAATCTCATTTCTGTAGCCTGTACTCTGCTGTCATCCTTTTTAGTTGTTACCCAACTTTCACTTCCATATAGAAGCATTGGCATGGCCATCATTTTATACATTTTTTTTTGTATCTTCTCTAGTTTTTTGGCCTAATGTTCTAGTTATTGTGCCGCAAATATTTTGAAATTTTTGGATCTTATTTTCTATATCATTATCTCGTTCATAACTAACATCACATCCGAGATAATTGAAGTGTGAAACTTGTTCTATAATTTCATTTTCTATTACAATTTTTGATCTCGCACAGTGTTTCCCATAAAAGGCCATAACTTTTGTCTTGTTTATTGCCATTTAAAATTATATTTCTTACATACATGGTTTAGTTTATGTACCGCTCTTTGAAGTTTATTTTCATCTTTCTGGAGGATTATAATGTCATCAGCGAACAACAAAGCGTTTAGGTGGGTATATCTATCTAATTGGATTCCAGGGTTAACTTCTAGTTTCCATTCTCTTATTATTTCATCTATATATATTTTGAAGAGTGTTGGCAATAAACTGCAGCCTTGTCTTACCCCCTGAGTAGTGATTATTTCTGAAGTTTTACAGGCACCAGTATTAATTGTGATTGCAGTATTTTTATATACGCTTTGAATGGCATTAACAAGGTGTTGTGGATATCCCCTTTGAGTTATAATATTCCAGAGAAACTCTCTATTCACTCTGTCAAAGGCTTTTTCGAAATCAATGAAAGCCCTGTGGGTTTCTAACTCGAATACCCTTCTTTCAATTAATAACTAAATAAGAAGTAATTATAAGAACTAACTATATAGAACTAATAATGGACAACAAATTTAATTTGAAGGAAAAATCTCTACCTTCAATTTTGTAGTGTAGGAAGACGCAGAAAAAAAATTATACTTTCGCAATTTTCGAAAATTCAGGATTAACTGTGAAAATCGGACCTATGACACTTTTATAAGTGAATGTTACTCTATTCTTACAAGTTATTTAAAGAAAAACTGGAGCGGTTTCTGAAAAAAATTTGAAAATGTTCCGAGGGCTTCATGTAAAGTACCCTCAAATTTTAAAGAATGATTTTGAAAATCTCAAAAGCTTTGCCTCGAGCCAGATAGACAGGGGTTTCTTTGATTTGGAAAAAATCCTAAGCTTGGTTTAGGCGCTAGTAGTGTTCACAGACGAACGTTTTGACGTCAATTGATTTTCCTTTAATAGATTATGTTGTCACAGTTCAAGTTTTGGGTCCATATCGAAAATTAGTTTGCAGCAAAAGTCTAAAAAATGCTAACTATTGGCATTTTTTATCAAAATTGATTTTCCCCCATCGATCTGACTAAACTAACAGCACCTTGAATTTGAAATGGATAGTTATTTTGGGGGTAACTTACATGAAGCCCCCAACATTTTCAAAATTTTCTCAAAAATGGCAGCAATTTTTTCTTTTTTTTATCTTTGTTAGAATGATGTATGCTAATATAAACGGAGCACCTCTCGTTTTCACTGATTTTTTGTTTGTTTTGTTATTTAAGGCTGCATCGACTACTAGGTCGTTAGCGACCACTATTGTGTGTAAAGGTATGGTAACTGTGAGGATGACACGATATGATGATGATAGGGGGTGAAAGGACGAACACAATACAACCGTGCCCGAGGCGGGACTCGATCCTTCGGTACAAGATCGCTATGGCACTACTGCCTATCCGGACTGGCTCATTGAACTCTAGTATTTCGAAATTGCAAACATTCAACATTTTTTCGTCTTCATACAACAACATTGAAGATAGAGATAATTTTTTCCTAATGAAATCTGTTCTTCATAATAAGATTTTAAAATAATTTTTTTTTTTTAACTAGTAGTTTTTGCATAATTGTGTGTTTTAAAAACAAGATTTTCTCAAAATGGCTTCAATTTTTTTCAACCTTTTTAAATGAACAGGGCCAAATGCAGTAATTAACATGTCTGAAACATTATTTTGATGTAACCTTTTAATTTTTTAAAATTATATTGATCAAGTGGAATTATAATATTACCTGTTACAAATAATGTGAGAAAGTATGTACTGTACATTTTCTCAATTTTTCAGATGCTTATTAACAGAATTTAATTATTACTTTAAAAAGAACATAGAAAAATAGAAACTATTTTTACATTTTTCAGGAAAACAAAAACTTTATGGAAAGATTTTTGTGGAAATAATGTTTCTGAAAACATGCAATTTTTAAGTTTATTTTTACAGTTAACTTTTAATTTTTTAAGAAGCTCCTTAAAAGTCATTTGAAAACCTTCTACTCACAAATGCAATGAATTATAAAAAGCCCTTTAATATAAATATTAATGAAGTGAAAGATCTTAGAAAACAGATTAGTGGAACTGAAAATTACGTGTTCTGAATAGTTATGCACGTTGCTATATGTCCATGCCATTCCTCATAAACAAAGTTTTTCAACACATTCTTGCTTCAAATAATTGTAAAATATTTCTAAATATGTAGTGTTGTAGTTTTTAAATACAGAATTTTCCTTCCATTTTGCAATTTATTTTGCAGTTCATCATAGACCCCCTTTTTTGTTCTCTGGGTATTGGAATGTCTAATGGTCCAAATAGCAAACAGTAGTAGCTACTAAGACTGTTAGATGTGTGTCTTTAAATCCATAATTTTCATGAGAACTGCAATAATTGAATTAAATTTTTAAATCAGCTTAATACCCTCTTTTTCAAATGCAAAAAAATGCAATTAAATTATCATAATGTTACCATTTTAAAGAAAATAACAAAATAATAATGCACTATTATTTGATATATATTATGATACCACTTTCTTCAATTTGTATCCAACATACAATTTAACCTTTGGTATTTCAAATCTGATTCTTGCCAATTATGCTTATGTTTTTCAGAAGTTAAGGAAATGTAACAGGAAATGTACAAAAAATAGTTACTTCAGAGTTCTCATGAAGAATTATGGTATCTTTTCACATTTTAAAAATTATTCACAAACCAGGAAAAAGGTCACATAAAAATATTATTTGAATGGGAATAAAATACCAATTAATTTGTGTTAAAACCACTTTAATCAAAATTACAGTTGACAAGACAACAAGGATGTTGCTACATCAGGTTTCATTCAAGCCTCAGTGTTTCTTGGAGACTGATTTTTAGAATGGTTTCTCCTAGTGAAATTTGTAATTTAGTGTTTATCTGTCTACCAACGTAATGTTATGCTCAGCCAAATGTATGATTGGGCCACAAGCATTGTTTCCTACCTCTACCAGTCAAGAAGAGACTATATTTTAATGGAATATAGGTATGTGTGTGTATATAGATTTAAAATTCAAGAGGATAAACCATAAAATTAGTAGCCACTATAAAATTGCAGCGGTTTATACACTCTGCAAGTATACTTTCATATACAGAACTCTACATTTACATGTATGACTTCAATAAATCATTCAATTTAAGACTATTTTTCCATTAAAATCCTGAGTTACAATACCATTATAATCGTTAGTTAACAATAGGATGCATTGGCCCAATCAATAAAAATTTTGTTTGAATGTTTTATATACTCCTAGATTAGCATTTGTCATTTGATGTGGTACAATAATAAATAATTTACATTCTCTTCAACATTTACTGTACATTTGATTTGAATCTTTCTTCATTACATTTAACCTATGTATGTTATCCTTTTTATACAGGAAAGGTATTTCTATAATAACTGAACATATTGGTGGAGGAAACCAATAAGTTTGACTGAAATTACTTCATACCATGGAAGATTAGTCATTTTACTGCAGTTTAGTTTGCAACAGTGAGTTAATTCCATTAAATTGTGCAATTAAAAAAATCTATTATAACAGTCACAAGCACACCTTCATACACTCCTTCATATAAAATCACCTACACAAATATACATATGTATATATAGTTGGTAATATATATGTATCTCTGTATATATATGTATATATATTCATTATACACAGATACATATATATGTATAAAATCCGCAAAAATAAGAGATGTTGTAACTAGTAACCCAGAATAGCTATCATGTTAAGATTATAGAAAAATGAACATGTGAGTGAGCTCCAATAGTTCTAAAGAGAATAACGGGGCTGCATCACAGAGCACCAAGAACGACTGACTGCACACCCACTCGCAGGTCTAGAACCTGATTTGCCTGCAAGCTCTACACTTGATTAAGTGCCATTAAATTTCACCTTGTTCCCAATTTATAGATAATGTATTTAGCATTATTTTTATTTAGTGTTTTTTATTTTTATTTTCATGTAATATAGAATGGTCATGTAACTTATATGTGTCTTTATGTCACTGGTTATAGAAAGGTGATTTTATAAAGGATTTCAATAAATATTGCATTATGTTGTGAACTATAATAGGTTGAAATTCTGACAACGGTACATTTAATAATTCTAATGCATGATATTATGCCATCAGTTCACTACATTAAACAAGCAAAGCAGAGAAACAATTAAAATGTACATTAAAATATATAGGCATTTCAAATATTTTCACACTATATTCATCAGCAAAATACCATTGTCATTTTATAACCAGTTATATCATTCTGAAACCCAAATCTCCCTAGACATGGGCTTGTGCTATCTCTAACATCCATGGAACATCAAACTAGTTTCACAAAAAACTTATTTCTGTGCTTCAGTCATCAACTTTGTAACTGAAACTCTCCAGTGCCAATCACAGATAAGCTACAAAGGCAGGTCCAAACTATTGTTCAAAAATGTTCAGTAGTTTTTCATTTAATAATAATTTTAAAAATACACTGTATAAAAACTTGTATTTTTCACAAGTTCTAAATGATGGATGAAAATTAAGTTATTAGCCAGTTCTGATTCCCTTACATTTTTAAAAATTATGCAAGGAGGAAAGAAATTGATGCCTTAAAGGCTATTTCAAAAGCCAGCATAGTACACTAAGAAATTTGAAATTATTGTCATATCATAATGTCATGAACATCTACACACACAACATTCCTTCATAATCTTTATTTTTAAAAATTCACCTGTGTCAAAGAACACACAAGCCCAACAGATGGGAGTACATTGCAGCAACAGAGGGTCAACCAGCTTCATAATACCTCTTAGCTCTGCCATCAGAGATGGAATAGGGTGAAAATAGACTTTCAGATGAAAATAATCTAGAGCTAATTTTCAATATATTCAATGTATACATATGTTTGGCATGTCAAGTATGAGGAAGACAATGCATGCATTTAAGTAAATTCACAAAGTATAAGTACTGAAGTAAAAAACTGTGAAAATAATGTATTATAATGTAATAGACCATCATTCTGGGTGCAAAATTTTTAACATAGGATCAGGTTTTCTGCCTAAAGATAATGGCTGAACAGAAAGAAAGACTTTTTTAACATATGGTGCCCATATGTCAGTGATGAACTTCATTTTTGAACAACAGAACCTGAAAACATTGAACCCAATCCACCAACATGCAAACTCTCATATCAATAAAAGGATTATTACAAAGAAAACTCAGTAATTCACAGAACTATCAAAAGGAAATCTTATTTATTGTTTCACATCTGTTTGTTAAGAAAGCATGATGAAAAGAGAAACTTGAACAGAAGAGGGCAGTTCATAACTAATGAGGGTTAACCATAAACACGAAAGGAATTTAATTCTTGACACTTAGTCTGACTAGAATATATAATAACGGTATCTGACTTAGAAGTAATGAGCATTTATAAAATACAATTTAAAAAAATGTATTTAACACCGTCTTCATTCTCATTCTGTAAAAGTGTTAGTATTTCCTAAAATACATCTCTTTGTCTCTGAAACCCAAAAGAGAGAATGAGAGGGAAAGATAGCACAAACGGCCACTAAAATAGGGAGTAAAGTTAGTAAACAACTCTTATACATAGATTTACACTATGCTTTTGAAGTAGATGTTTAAAATATTTTGATTAGCATTTATCATTGCATTAAAAGGAATATTGAAGTTAAACAGCAGAAATTATGAAAAGAGTATCCTGAAGAGGTGCACGAGAGCATCTTGAAGTTTGAAATCTACATTGAAATGTGCGCAACAGTATATACTGTGAGGTAACCCAACAGCACCAACACACTTTTTAGAGCCATAAGTATTAAGATAACATATAATGGCAAATACTTAATGAAAATAGTAGGCAATTGAAATCTTCAATATTAAAACACAGTATTCAGCAAAGTCCAATCACATGAAACTCTTCCTTTCACTCTCTCTTATTCAACATGTGATATAACAACACCTTCTGTCATATTGAAGATGACATCGACTTTGTCTATTAAGGTACTTGTCTACACAACCACACAGGCATTTTTGAAGATGTATGTTATTCTAATCAATCATATAATTCACTGCAGTATGTATGCTTTCTTGTAACTAGATAATTGCATTATAAACCATTCTGGCCTAAAAGCCTTAGTAAATTATTTATAATTTAAGAATTAAATAAAAAAAAACAGCAACGAACAAACCAAACAAAAATGTTGACAAACACTTTTTTGTAAGACTGATATTTGAATGGTGAATAAAGGAACAGCATTCAACAAGGTTCACAAAAGCAAAATGTAGAGTTAATTATAATTTATACACTTCACAGGTTGATACCAAGAATATGAAATGATTTTTCTATGAATATTCATTTAGAAGAACCAAAAGTGTAAATATAGACTTAGTAATATTTTAATTTTTTTTAGGAGCCATTAATATTTATGTCTTATAAAACAATAATTTTTCACAATAAAAACGAGAAAAATTATACAAAATGCTTTGACAAGCTGTCATAGAAATATTAAGCTACGAGGAAAATAAATAATAGGTCAGAAGTCAACTGAGTGAATGAGTGTAATGATTCAAGCATATACTTTATTAACTTTAATTTGAGTGAATGTCTTTAATGAAAGGTAAATAATTAAAGATGTAAATGCATTGAATTTATATTAATATGCAATGAACTAGTTACAGAAGTTTTTCAGTGACATAATCTTAGTATTCAACATTTGCAGTACCAACACATACAAAATTTTAAACTCTTATTGTCTTCCAATACCATAAACACACATATTTTAGATGGTTTATGAACATTTTTAAACAAGTTGCTATCACTACATTTTTATATATATGTATATGTATAGATGTTCACGTATAATTCAATGTGTGTTAACAATTGGTAGGATAAATTAAGAGATCAACAGCTACTTTATATAACTGAAATGCAGCATTTTTCTGAGAAGCTTCACTGTTGACATGAATGATGCAACAAAACAATTCAATTGGTGACATCATAGAACACTGCACTTAAATTCTGTTTATGAAACAAGTACAACCAACATTTTCAAACATTTCTCAATGTGAAATACTTGAGACCAACAAACACATGGATACCATTCTTGGCAAAGGATCTCTTTCAACAAATTCTATATGTCTATATTTACAATTGTCATATGACATTCACCGTATCAATTTTTTTTTCTATTTATACTTCAAATAATCACTTCAACAGTGCAAAAAGGACTTGAGAAATAAATTGGGCATATACAGAGGGTAGATTCCAACAACATTAAACGAAGAATATAGTATATATCATTACCAACAAAGATCAGGTCCATAACAACAATTAAGATGGGCAGAATAGAATATCACATGTTTTCATCTTAATTTCAAGTACAGCGTGTTGTAACTGGTAATCTAAATATATAAATCTATACAGCACTTATCACTATATTGTATTATGTACATATATTTAAACAGTTTTTGAACAAAAACTGTTTATAGCAATTTTCCTTCAAAATTCTTAAATTACATCAAATATATTATTCTTACATGAACATAAATAATTATTGTGTCTGTGATACATGGTCAGTATAAAATAAAGGCAATCTTAACATGAGATGACTATCCCAGAAAGCATGAAATTTTCTATGACAAACATGAGCTGTTCAGTAAGTACATTGCATAAATTATTTCTGATTTATATAAAAATAAAATTCAGTTGACCAGTATCAATTCAAAATGTTCTGTTCTGGTTGTATGAGCAGAAACAAAGATGATTTGTATCTATTAACAACTAAATTAATTTCAATTTTAAGTACAAGGAAAGGACTGCTTCTACATGATAGCTTGCAAATCTTTCACTATAATCTTCACATAATCTTTTTGTAGGAAGAAAAATAATTGATTGAGAAATTCATGAACAAATATTTTAAAATTATGCTCATGAAAAAATGGCAATTGCATTGTTTTGCACAGCTCATAGTAAAACAGAGAGTATCTAAGATTGATGAGCAAGGTGTAATGACATCATCACTACCTGAAGGACATGAGATGCCCTGATGCATTTCAAAATGTATATAGGCTTGCATCATGCTACATCTTACCTAGTAATCTTTTGCTCTCTCAAAAAAAAGGAAATACCGAAACAAACAAACAAAAACTTATATGGTAAACAAATCTTTCTCTCCCTCAGCCCTGATCCTGTAAGGTTCACTGTTTCGTGAAGGAAAGTTTTTCTTTTCCTCCATGTTTCCAGACTTTTTTTTTTTAAGAGATTGAGGAAACATAAAACCTCTGGAGAATATCTGATACAAATTCTTAATATCGCAGGTTTACTACATAAGAGTTATATACATCTTTTTTCTAATTAATCCATTTTTGTCTAGTGCTACTATTACTTCATTAATTTTTAACAACTGGGTATTTGCATAGATCAATGTAATTTGAATCCATAAATACTTATTGCATACCAATGTATTACGTTCAACACAGAAGAATAGAATATATATATATACATTACTTACTTTCATCAGTGATAAAGAAATGGAGGATTAAACAGAAAGTGAAGATTGTTTCTTCATCAGTTCCAGATACAGCCACTGGGGTATCACTGTGATGACAGAGTTAAGACAACAATAGTGGATGAGACACCGATCTTCTCTGCATACAAGTTTGGTTTAGGACATATAAATGCAACTCACAGACTAATAACACACAATGTACAGCTATGTACAATGTATTTCATGAAATAGGAAAAGGGATGACAATAGCAGCCCGCCTGCGGGATGCAACACACTGTAACATGAGTGGCAGTTAAAAATGAAAGTAATTGGGAGATAATTCTCCTTTTGTTACAATTCTTTATCAAGTAGTATGTACTGCAAATGTTCCCAGTTCATACATGTCTCCAGTGTTCAAAACTGTAATTTACACATGTTTCAATTTAAGAATAATTATAACAATGAACACCATTGATACAAATGATACTAAACATTTGATTCTTTCTGGAAATTGTATCAGGAGGGCCTCGAGGGAAATGATGCTCAATATATATTATACATCTAATCAGACTAGCTCACCTAATTTCACTCTGTTTCATTACACAACAAATCATACAACAAAACTTATACACTGTATGATATTTCTCTCCATTAATTTCCTTCTTATGGTGTGTATAATCTACTTTCATGGCAAGGATAAGAATGCAACATAACACTTCTGTTTGTACCACAAATATTTTGTAAAATTTGGTTATGAGAAATACAATGCTATAAAGCAAGTTATATCTACACCATCATGGTTGTCTATTACCAATTCTGACCTTCAAGTTGAGGATAAATATCTTTATATACCTCAAGAGCTCAGTGCGTGAAATGTTTATTCTAAAGTCTCTATGCATAAATAACTGAGCATCAATTTGCTACAATTCATGCTAAAAATGTAACTTTTATTTTTAAATGTGTTGGGAAGATACCATCATTCCCATTTTGCAATATTTCTAATGTAGTCATTGCTACCAACACAAGGCAAATTTGTATCATATGATGCAGGAGAGGTGTAATTTGAGGTAGTAACTGATGGACATTTTATGTTCTTATTTCAGCCCATGAAGCCTTTGTCATGTGCTATGTGTCCATTACTACTGTGGTTACTGCAGCAATAAGAAAACTTACATTACAAATTTATATACAATCTTTATCGTCCTTGAAAGTCCTTTGCTCACAAAGCGAAAACTAGAAGCCACTGGTATAATGAAGTGTGCGGCTGCAGTGAATGAATTAAGTTTCACAGACAACTCCACAAATCCAACAATCAGCACTGAATGATTACACTCACAACTAATGTCCAAGAATTTGGCATTAAACATTTCTCAATCATTCCAGGTATTGATATGATATCATTTGATGGATACTTCCCATGAGGTGAGAGTACCTGTGTGAAAACTACATTATGTGTTAATTTATAGAAAAGTATTTCATTCCTGCATTAATTTTGTAAAATGACAAATAATGTAAGCTCAGAATAGTTGCATATAGTTGTATGCTGCAGCAGCTGGTCAAGTGGTTATTTGAAATATGAACACAAAATGTTCATTTTGTCACCAACATTTTGTAAAGCTTAAGTTCTCTCTCCAGATGGCATTAGGGCATTCCCATGACACCGGCCTCAGAGAGGCCAAAAGGAGGAAGGATGGAGTTCCTACCTATAGTATAGAGGCATCTCCTGAGCTACTTGCAGCAACAGGTCACAGTAGGTACCATTATACAGGGAGTCTGTGCTGCAGAGTCTCCTCACAGCTGATACCACTTCTTGTCCTTGTACTTGAGCATCAAGCTATGTGCTGTAGTAGAGAAGGTTTCAGCTTCAGACATCATGCGTTGTGTGCGATCTTCAAGTTGACCTAATTTCTCACCACGTTCTACCATCATCTGATGAGCACGACCAATTTCTGAAGTCACTGATGTCACACGTCGCCCCATATCTTCCATATTTGCCGATGGGCCAGGAATATGCTTAGCCACAGTTCGCGATGCGCGGCCACTTGCTTCACCAACTGAAAATTAATTGTGTTGTCAAATGACAAAATTAATATTTATTGTACTGAATAAATGTGATTTTTTAGGTTTGACTAAATTAAAACAAAATTTAACTTGCACATTTTCTGCAAAACGTTTGCAACACTTTGGTTATTTCTTCATGCCTCAAATGATGATTAAGGTAGCTGTCTACCTGACAAAAAAGAAGTGTCTATTTTGTTTCCCTGTGAGCATTTAATTTCTATATGTTCTTAGAGATCGAATAATTACTTAAACATATTTTATCTTTTTGTTTATAAATAATAAGCCAAAATGTAGGTTTTTACTTCAGACATCTCCACAAATTGATGAATTTTGATAATTCTTTTTGTAAATTGATCACAAATATATGTTCTAGGGAATAAAAGGTTCTGTGAAAACTAAAGAGTCAGGATTTGATTATTTGAAAAAATAATTGATTGAAAGTTTATTCTGAACATTTCAATTCATGTAACTGAGTTTTATTGACACATTAATTATTCTAGTTCCTTCTCTAGAGCAAATCATGTTTTACATCCTGCAAAACGAATTATAGCATTATCTTTTATAGTTTATGATTTATGAAGTTTGACAAGCATAAATGTGCTGAAAATTCTCAAATCGGGAAAATGCATCTGAAGTTCACTCACTAGAGTCTTGATGATTGACACTCGCTTTGAAAAAAAATATTTGCTCAAAAGAGATGTAGAAAGAAATAGTTTGAAGAATTTACAAGAGAAGAAAAAGCATACCATTCAATAAAAATTGAAACAGATGAAATTTTACGATTTTTCATAATTTTGAGGTAGACAACTACCTTAACATTGCTTCCAATCTTTTTGTTTATCTTGCAATAACAGTTCAAAGAAACAGAGTTTCATGCAACTCACATAGCTCTTCCCGGTCCAACGATCGAGATCCTCCTCCAAAAAGTCCTTTGAAAAAACTCTCTTTGGGTGGCTCTGGCATATCATGTGGCAAAAACAGCTCTCCAACCATTTCTGTCAAACTGACACTGTGGATAAAACATATAAATGAGTGATATGAATATTTGAATTTCAGTCACCACAAAAAGAACTGCTGTTTCTAATTATTTTGCAATTATACACATTCTTGGCATCTTCTTTTTCTATTCTCTTGCAATAATAATTAATAGTTCATATTAATTAAGTAATATATCTGCAAATTTGAAAAACTTGAAGATTCAGAACCTACACAATTTAATGAAAGTGCAGGAGAATAGAGATTTGATTTCAGAATTTCAGGACTATGGATAATCTTATTTTACAATAATACACATGCTGAGAATTGTAATTTCATAGATTATTCCAAAAATGTTATGAAGCTTGTTGAAAACTTAAGTTTGTTGAAAAATGAAATTGTTGAGCCATTTAATTATTTTTAAATTTTTAATAAAATGTAATTCTGAAAATAGACTTAGAGACATATTGCTTTGGCATTTAATTTAATGTTGATTAATTTCTTTTGCGACTAACAAATATAAGCATGTCCATGTAGTTGAACTGAAAAATCCACATGTCTGAACTCTCTTTTATACTCCAATTTTGTCCTGGAACAAAATTATATTCTTTACATTTGAAGAAAACTCCTCTTACCCTGATTCCTATTTAAATTTAAAATTGTTTAAAAGCAAAAGAAATTAACTCTCCAAAATGAAATTTAATAGATCCCTTCTTTAATGTATGCATGTTTGTTTACTTAAATACAGATAAATAAATCTGAAGTGTCTGACTTTGATCTTGGAATTTATGGGCATTCATATACTTTTTCAATATATTTTATTCAAAAAACATTTCTCACTTCGTCTATCTGTCTATCTATATGATTTAACTAAAAAACTACTGCATATATCTACATGATATTTAAACACATTATAAACACTACCCATGGGACCAACATTGTTTTTGTTCTACCATGATATATCCACAGGTTCTGAAGGTATATTTTTTTATTGACCTTCCCACACATCGTCATGTGTTGCCCAGATTCATGTTTCTGTTACAAAAATTAGAGTGCATATGTTTGTATGTGCCACAAACATTTTGGAACCTCCGGGGCAATTTCTTCAAAGCTAGGCACAAATAAAACATTTCTGTGATTCTATCCAGTATGCTCTAGAAACAAAACTGAATTTTGAAGGTGTGGAGGGCTATGCTGTGAAAAATTACCAAGCTCTTCATTATTTACAATAATGATAATAAATAATTTATTATTATTATTATTATTATTATTATTATTATTATTATTACTACTACTATTACTATTATTTTGGCTTATGACAGCCAAGGTATTCTCGTGTCTTTTGTGTCGGTTTGTGAGGGCCAAACTGCCACTGGCATGTACTACAGATCATTCCTGCTGCAAACTCAGCACCATACATTATGGAGGAAACGTCCAGGGCTTCTCAACAATGCACTATTCCTTCCTGATAATGCAACAAGCCACACTGCAGCCTACGTCCAGGCCCTTATGCGATGGTGGGGGTGTGAGATCTTGGAACACCCCCTCCGTACTCAGTCCTGATCTCAGTGACTTTGATCTCATTTCAAAACTGAAGACCAATGATCACCAATGCTGCGTGGGAAGTGGTTTGCAAACAGGGAGGACATCCTAACAGCGCATTGACTCATTACACACAGCTGTTGGTATTCAGTGCCTTCCTCATCATTGGGCAATGATGTGTGGATGCCTTGAGGGATTATTTTGAAGATTTTTAGCTTGTAGGAGTACAAGTGTAATGCATACCCTACCCCATAGCGCCTTGTACTTGGATCCCAATTTAGTACCAGCATAGCGAAGAACAATCCAAGGACTTTTAATTGCATACCCAGAGTTTTGTTTCCTGCAGTTTTATTTACTGACAAAAAATAGTTGCCATGACTTCTGAAATTACCCTTCTATATGCAAGCAAAGAGTATTTATTTTTATTACAATATACAAGCACAAAAATAAATTTACTCTGGCTAAAAGACATGTAAACAGAGAAAAATTTATAATTATTAAAATGATTCAAACTTTTATGAAGATGAACTTATTTAATCACCAGCACCAAGAAGGGCCATATTATACAGATTCACAAAGAGAGATTTGTCTTCAAAAGGGATCAGAGGTCACACTCAAGGCCAGATTGAATTACTCATGAGCAAACAAAGTCATCAACAATGAAAAAAATAAAAAATCTTGATATTGAATATCAATGATACTGATATCATGTCACTTTCTTGTAGTGATAATCCTGGCCCTGGAGCCTCATTTCAGTACTTTCCATAGTTAAAAGCCATAAAATCGTGACTAATAAAAAGACATTTTAACCGACTTCCAGGCTCAAGTGATAAAAATTATATTGTGATTATGTCTAGACATTGCTTTGTATGTGAGCTTCTCTGACATATATGGATGCAACATTTCTTCACTGTAATAATTGTTTGTGAGAAGAAAAAATTTAAACACATTTACTCATTATTCATATTCTGTTGAAAGTGTATTTTTAGAATATTCTTCTTACCTCATCTACAAATAGTTTATATAATTGCGACATGATGTAATAAAATGAATTTTCCCATTTCAATTACATTGATCAACATTTTTAACAAGAGTGGCTTTCAAGAAGCAAGCAATTCATAGACGAGAGTGTGGGTGTGTTTTTTCCTTTTCTTTTTCTTCACAATATCACATCAGAACAGTAATTATATTTTCACGTATGGCAATTCCTTTACTTTTTACTAAAATTACTTGAATCTTCTCATTCCTTTTCAACATAATGTTCAAGCAACTTTTCACATGGATTTAAAGAATATCAAAATTTTGACAGAGATAATCAACACAAGATCAACCATCTGTCTTTTTCTTACCAAAACTCTGATGATACTGTAAACTTCTGTACTTCACTTGGAGAACAAAGGTATAAACCATGACCTCGGTTACTGAAGCAAAATGTTCTTGCTATCCTGCAAAATGAATCATTATTAGAAAGACATTTTCTTACGAAAAATATCACAGAGGCAAAGAACACATATATTACAGATAGCAACAAACAAATAACATTACCGAAACATACAAATTATAGTAGTAAAACAAATAAGAAGCTATTTTAAACATTGTAAATATGAATACAGAAATTTATCTAAAAGAAAGGTCACAGAAATCAACCTATGAGTAAAGTGTGCAAAGATAAATAAAATAATTGTCACCATAATAATAAAGTACCCATCATGTTGCTAACTCAAACCACACAAAAACTACAAAAAATTGAATTTAGATAGAACACATATACAGGAGTAACATCAGTCATGATTACACATGCTAAAGGTGGAAAAGGTAACAGTAATTATATCTAGTTTTGTGCAATAAAATACATATTAAATTATTTTTGAGGAATGAATCATTTGTTTCAGTAGGTCCAGATTTGATATGAATCTTTTAAGATAGCTAGAAACATGATGACTGAGAAAATCAAAGTGGAAACCAATTAATAATAAATTACCTCACGTTTCATCACATCAATAAACTGCTAAACACTGTTTGCAAATCACAATGACACATTTGAATTAGAAGGCACAAAAGGGTTCCTCCCTTCTTACCAAATAACATAAGATATTACACTTCTTGGTATGCAGAAACAAATGCACAAAATACTGATCCAATCAGTCTAAAGCAATAACAAATGAGCAAGCAATAAACAGAGGTAATGTATATTCCTGCTGGGCACATCTGCAGCCATATGGGAAGACATACTGAGTGGACATAGAACCACGAAATTGATATTTGTGTAATGTGGCGACTCACTTGTGCAAATGATGGTTTTAATACTATCATAAAAAATTGCATTAACTTCACAGAAATGCGTTAAGAATGACTGTTTACTGTGATTATTGTAATAATCAATATAATTTTTATTATACTAATTGATCTAGGCATCTTCCAAGACAACTTTTGTGATTTTAAACAAACATGTCCCTTGTCAGTCTTGTGTGAAGGTGTATTTGACATGCACTATTGTTTTGTCTTGTTTTCAATGTTGAAATTTTTGGGTGATGTATACTGGTTGTGTCTGATGCTGATGGAAAGAATGGAGAGAAAGACAGAAAGAGATCTGGAAGGTAGCAAGCAGTTTGTTAAGTAAGTTATAGAACTAAGAAATCTACAAAAATCACTTGCACAATACAGCATTTCAAGTCAGAAAGAAAAAATCTAAATTTTAATATTTATTTCATTAAAATAGAACTGTGTTTTATATGCCAATTAACAACTAAGTAGTAAATGTTAATTTCATACATATTATGCAATTGTCATGCAAATAAATGCATTTGCAAGTGCATATTTTTAATGTTTTTCTACTCAGCTTTTGCAATAGAGAAATTTTGGAAAGAATTTAAAGATATTTCAATACAAAACACTATTCTGGAAAAGAAAGAAGAAAAAAAATAAGTGTAAAGACTGATTTTCATGGTTTCAGTTCATGTAAAAATGAACCAATTACCATTACAGAACAAATTACTTGCAAATTTTTAGGTTGTTTTAGTGTAAGTCGTTTCATCAAATTTAGTATTACTTTTGTACAATTTAACCATATTCAAGGTCAAATATGGAATACTGTAGTAATGGAGATAGGAAATCATGATGCTAAAGGGAATTCTCTTTAAATAACATTATTTCTTCTATTGCAAAGAATTACTATTTGAAGTAGATCTGAAAGAGTAATAATACCGGAATCTTTTCATAAATAAAGCTAATATTACCTAATATTACTGTAAACCCTATCAAACATAATGAACTGAAGTGCTCTAACGTTGCATTGTTTTTATGTATATATTACCTCCTTTTACATAAACATAAAGCACAAATCGAGTACATTGTGTTTCAAGAATAACATCAATATATGACATTTGCAGTTAGAGCACATCTATACATCATTGCTTAGACAGTCAGTTCAACTCAATGGCAAGAATCAAAATGCATCAAAAATATTTGAATGAAACTGAAAATTGCAAATTCCAGCATTCACAAATGTACTTCAGTTTTCATACAACAGTTTGGATAGATTGTATCATCACTAACTTCTGAAGGAACAAAAGATGAAAATAACAGACCAAAAAATTTTGTGTTCACTCTCTTTCTGAACACTTTCTTAAGCATATGTTTATGAGTACACTGAAAAGGCCTAAAAATAAGTGCATTTTGAAATGTGTAAAGCAAGTAAATGCAAATCATTACTTAATATTGCTTGCTATCCCTATTAGGTGATATATGTTTTATGTTAATACAGTATATTCTATTTAATCTCAAGCTTTATAAGTTAGCAAGAGCTCAGCAGAAGAATTTGCAAGTTCCTAATTAAAGAGAATATGAAAAATATTAAAGAGCAATCTCATAGTGCAAATGTAGTTGCAATCTATAAAAGTATAAGAATCTGAATAAGTATTTACATTATTAAGATACTTGGAAGGCATGAAAGGAAGGAACTCTCAGGAAATATGACAAAATTTCTTCATTCACCATTACAAATCCTTGTATAGTTCAGAAACATAAACAATGGAAACTGTTCCATTCGCACTCACATGCTTCACAAAATGTGAAGAACAAGCCATGCTCATTCATTGTTTCATACATGAAAACATTTGCATGAAAATTCTCAACTACTCCACATCTCAAACTAATAGACCACCCATATTTAACATTACACTGACATTGAAAAATTTAATTCACATTTTAAATTAAAAATTCTAGTAACGCAGTGTATTTCTTCTCAGTTTCAGAATTACAGCAATTAATGTAACCCTTTTAAACACTTCGCAACAATAAAATTGTGGAAGTAATCCACAAAATGATGAAGGAAAATTAAGAAAGAAGGTGTAAGAATATTGGTAGGGAAGTAAGAACCTTTGATGAATATGAAAAATTATGGTACCTTCAGTGCACACAAAATCATGCTGAGTGCGCCACATTATCAAAGCTTTGACATTTTATATTGACATTCTCATGTGTCATTAGTGTAGTTTGCGAGTCCCATTTCATGCTTATCAACTTCATATGGTTTTCACTTCAGGCTATTGATACTACACCAAGATTCATCTTTGTGCATGCACACCTGTATACTTCACACAATATCAATTTAGAACAATGAGAGAGCAGTTTCTCAATTTCATACATCATGCACACCATGCTGAATTCTACTTAAATTTAGAAAGAATAAATGGGTAATACAATTCACTAATAAAGCAAGTCTGACTTGCTTATTTACAAAACAATAAGGCACCTATTCTTGAAGATAAAACATTTATGAGGAAAGAGATTCCATACATTGCTGATGGTGAATCAAGCAAGCACATAAGGCATTATTTAATCATGATTGTATTGAATTAACTATGTAAAAACTGTTTCATTCAGTAACACACGACAGCCATTAGAGACATAATATGGTGGAAGATTATTATGGCAAACAATAATAGCAATTAAGAAATGATCAGCATGAAAATACGTAAATAAAACACTGGAAGCAGACAATGTATTTTCCAAACACTCATGTTACGGTTCTTAATTTGAAAATTAGCAGCAAAAGCAAAATACAGCTAGTGAGGAACATTTTCCATTTTCAAGATATATAACATCCCCATGATGCAGACTAATTTCTTTTTGACTTATACTGAATAGAGGAAAAAATTAAGAATGTACCTTTCTACACAAAAGTGTTAAAAACCAGCAATACTGCTTATAAAATATGAATACTTTTTTTTAATGCCTTACTTTTAATTTGATCTGATTCCTATGCCTAAGAAATATTTTAAAAAAACTTTCTTCAAATTCTACATTAAAACAATGATTATAAATAAGAATGTAACTTTTCATTCCTTTGAAAATTGTTTTACAAAAAGGAGAACATTCTTTTCTCAGAGAGAGTATTTCTTTGTACTCTACTCCTCATTTAAACCTACCTCACTTGCTGATTAATGAATTAATATTTCATGCATTTAGGAAGATTCCCAGCACAGGGAACTAGTCCACCACCAAGAAACGTATGACGTCTACAAAAAGCATTTTTACTTATTTTTGTACCTGTTCTAGGTTATACTAGCAGCCACCTTAACACTGAAAATACACCTTGGAATGGTTAAAAAAACTTACCACAGCCAGTGAGATGAAGAGGAACACAAGTTTTGTTTTAACTGTTTCAAAATCTGTTATATTATTATTTCACAATAGATTTTCTTCTACTCTTCCCGAAGATTGATTCCTGAAACAGTTCACAATTTCTCTGTGTGTGTCTACAGGTGGCTACAGAACACTGGCTATGGCAAGCTTTTTCCCCACTGTCCTGTGCTCCCTTGTGGTGGCCTCAGGCAGAAAGACAAATGTTTCTTGGTGGTGGAGTGTAGCTCCTGGTTTGTCCTGGGTTCAGGAAGATTGGCACCATGGTTGGGCACATGGAAGGTGCAAGGCTGGTGCTCTGACATGCAGTGAAGTGTAGTGTTCTTGGCACTTTGCTTACTTGCGGTGTGCTAGGCCATGCTTGTGCATCCACAAGCAAGTTAAAGTATCGAGAATGTTGATCTTTGATCAGAGGATGCATAGTAAATACATAGTGTCCTTTCAAATGAGATATGTATATTTTGTGCAAAAGTATAAATGCTCTAGCAAGAGTAAAAATCTGACTTTGCAAATAAAACTAAACTTGCATGAGGCTTCAAAGTTATTACTAAAAAATTGTTGAATGCATTTTTGTGATAATTAGTGTATTTGCAGTCAAGAAAGGCATAATTAAAAAGTGTCAGGTGAGAAGGCATTTTACAATAAAGCATGTGGCAAGTGTATCTAAAGCTATTAGCTAATTGAAATTATAGTAGCATTTTGCTGTGTGTGCACTGCTCCGCAAACTTCTTCAAATTCCCATTTCATGTGGACACTATGTAAAAACCATGCATCTATGTGTGTCTGAAGCTCAATTGTATTTTTTCTTTCCAATTTTGGACTTTGTTCAATGATGTAGAGATGTGTGTAGCAGAGACTTACTGGTCCGTGTCTTCGTTAACAAACATCTGTTGGCCCCATATGGATAACATAGGGTCTACTATGCCCTGTTTCGTTGTCTGAAAACTGTTGAACAGGAAGAAAACAAGAGAGAAGAAAGATTGAAGGGTTGCTAGCATAGAAAACAAAGACTTTGATCTGGAAACTTCATAGATTTAAATCTATTTTCCTTAAATCATAAGATATTTAAAAAATAAAATAAGAAAATAACGAATCTCTGAAAACATAAAACAATTTCAAACAATGTTATAAGATCACTGTGAAAGAGTTATGTATCATTATTTGATTTGTAATTTGTTTATATCTTTCAAGAAATTTTTGTAGTGGACACTGTAGGTACAAGTGTATTTGATATACAGATCAATACAAATTAAACAGTCTCAACATTTGTTATACACTTCTTCAAATGGGATTTAGTAAGGAAATTTAACAGAAATATAACAAATTTTGCATGGCCAAATCCATGCACTTTGTGTCCTGAATACCCCACATAAATGTTTAAAAATCAGCACACTGTGAAAATAAGGGGAGAAATCATTCATTTCCCTCACAAAAAACACTAAATAACATATCAGAATTCAGTAAAAAAAACATTTAAATTCTGCTAATCTGTTTATCAGCTATTCAATGAATCTTAATTTCAAAGTAATTGTTTTTCCTGATTATAATTTTTTTCCAGTTCTATTTAAGAATTAACTTGAGCATTTATATGAGTTGACTTACCTCAGGTCAGCAAGTGGAAGAAAGTCCACATCAATAAGTGGTCGGAGGCTAGGCAAGCTGTATGCAGTTACATGTCCACTGGAGATGTAACATACTAAACACACGCTGTCTGCAAGATCAACACAAATTTGTCACAACTGAGGAAATCTTCTCATTTAATATGCAGTGATCAATTGCAAAATGTTTAGCATGGAAAAATGAAACGAGTAGGCTTGCATGATGAAATGAAGGACATTACCTGTCTCTCCAGAAAATAGAGAATATTACTTGCAGTTTTAAGAAGAGAGATGGAAAAAATTACCCAGATATTGACTTGGTATATAAAATTGCAAAAATATGTTTTAGTTAAAATATTGAAATACAATTACAGCTAAACTGAAAAAACTTAATTTGCATTTCAAACTCAACATACTGATGAGAAAAATCTTTTTTCCAAAAACATATGCCTGCAAAATGCATAAAAACTATGCATTTTTAGCGTTTCAGGAACCATTTCCAATAATTATTTTGAAAATAATTGAATGAAATGAAATCATGTGGGTATTAATATGCATTTACTTTACTGGCTTACCTTTGAGAGATATAATCTCAGCCTTGACAACAAAGTCTGTATCAGCTAACTGCTGACGGTACACACAATTGTGTGAAGGTAAGGCCACAACACGAGCTTGCTTCTCTGAAGTTAATACAACAAACTGACGATCCCCACACTGTTGTTCCTGCTGAGAGCTCAAGGTAGGGGACATACGATTGTTTGATGATTTTGTGGGAGTTTCTAGGCAGAACATAAATTCACAATAGAAAACTCTTCAATATCTATACATTGTTTTATAATGAAAGACTTGAATGCAATAGATCTTTGAAGGTAGAAAGTACCAAAACAAGCATACAATGGCAAGTATGAATTTTTTTCAATTCAAATGCAAAAATCTTGCATTTTATAAATAGATTTCCTCTACAGTGATTTATAATCTTTCATGTGTTCATATTTTATAGAAATAAATTTCACATTTTTTACCCAAATAAGCTCATAGGCATAATGTCTCTCGGTTGGCCAACGGTTGTTTGTATGAAATAAAATGTATTGAACAAACCACACCTATCATTCAGCTTAGTTATATGAAAAGCATTCAGAAGACTAACAATAACAGATTGAATATACGCCAAAAACAAGACATTAAGTCAGTTGTGCCAAAATATAGGCCTACTAATCTTAGGCACTCATAGGTATTAAGGATTCAACAGTTGTCTTGAGACTTACTTTTAGTATTTTCCTTAATGAGGATTAAAGATAAATTATACTATTAAGCAGTGGTGGCTCATGCCAGTTTTGCAGATTTGTGTTACAACCAAAATGTTCCCTATTTATTTAGCTATTTGTAACATGAACATGTTTCATTTGTAATTACTCGTGTGAAATAACTGCATCACAATTTTCTTGCAAGAATGGCAAATTTCATGAGAACGAATAATCTGTATATGTACTGTCAGCCTAAATGTTTACTTTGCTTTCCTACTTGTGAGTTACAATGTTAAAGCACAGATGATGACAAATCATTGGCTGCAAGCACAGTAGTGAGGCGTTGACAGATATATGGCTCAATAATATTAGTCAACATTTAAAAGTCCTGAGAAAGGGATAAAAACTGTCAGACCACAGAGCACACAAACAGATGACTTTACTGACCACTGCCCTATAAAAGGCTGTAACATTTTTTTGACTACAACCTGTAGCGGAGATTAATTTTTTTCCCTTCCTAAAGTCTAATTTAAATGATCCCTTTTTCATCAGCACAGAAAAAGGACTGACCATAATGGACGTAGTCAGTACAGAACAATGAACCACGCGTCATTTTTCTGTACAATCAATGTCCAATTTGTGCTCCTCTAGGAATTTTTCTCGGTTATTACGCATGTGGCGCGGTTTATACATTTTTGTAATTTTGAGAGCGTTTTAATGTAACGATGTTCTGATGTGATTTGGATGGCGAGAAATGGAACGGTTGCTTTCACACATGCAGTATAATCCTAGGGTCAACAATAAACTCCTATGGGGCAAGAGTGAGAAAAGAAATCTGTAAATTGCACACAGCAAATGAATTGTTTCATAAATGTGAATCTATGTTTAAACTGAAAATGTAAAAATTTGAAGTTATACAGTCATTATTTATCTTACAAAAATGTAAGAAAAATTAATGCTTCACATCTGTGATGATATGAGCACCACCCATTTTAATTTAAGTGTGTGTGTGAGGGATGGATTGCCTTCAAGAATTTGCAGAAGAGAATGTAGATCCTCAGGGCCACATAATACATTATACTGTTTGGTTCATTTGAAGAGACAAGTGATGCATTATACCACACCTTTTTGTGTACCATTCCACCTTATTTTTAAGAACCACCAACTTTTGAAGTAACAAGCTGCCAAATCTATCAAGAAAACATTTAAAACCAAATACAAAACTTACTTATCCGCTCTTTTCCTTCTTTGTTTTCATCTCTCCATGCCTCAAATGAATACGGGATAAGAGCTCCATTACAATCCAAGAATGACATTGTAAGGATAACACCTTTTAATCGGAAAATAGTACCTAAAACAAAATGTATACATTGCTAGCAACAAGTTGAAGAAAAACACAAAAGTTTGAATTTAACTGTCTTAAGATGCCTCAAATAGGGAAATAAATATTTTTTACTCACCACAGGGTGAAACTACAACAGGTTGAGTGTGCCGAGCTTCTCCTGCAGGAGGCACACTAATCATGATAGTAAGGACAGACCCAAGGCTGGTACCCACCCAAAGAGTAGGGAAAGTAATGGGATCTGAAAAAACATATTGACAAAGTTTCTATAATCTATTTCACTAGGTTGCAATCATAAGCAATGTAAATACTTAATTCAATGTATTCAAACATTGCATCAAATGTTCTGTGGCAACTTTGTAAGTACACAATCAATTTTGGTATTGAAACAAATCATTTCTCCAAGATAGTCATTCAATAAATTTTATTTGCAAATATAATAACATAGTTAACAGAAAGCTAGGGTATGTATGAAATTCAAATTTATATAATGTTAAAATAACAGACAAAGATCTTATAAAATACAAGTCACAATTTCAGCACATGATTTTGATATGCACTAGGCAGTATCAAAATAATTGGAACATATTATTTTGTTCATTTGATTCCTCTGTATCTTACAATGATAATTGTATTTTTATGAACCAGAGAATTTCAAAATTATGTGGTGCTGGTTTCTTCAAATTTTTTAAATAACAGTTTAATTACGCTTGACTTTTCTTAATGATGAAGCACAATTACCAGCAATGTGATTTGTATGTGTATACTGAAAGATGATGCAGATAAAAAACATTTTAAACTGACATAACTAATTCTGAAACTTCAACACAGTTCAAACATTAATGAAAGAGTACATATTATCTTCAAATATATAAAATTGCCTTACTCTACCTGGAATATGATGGACAAATCCGGAAATTGGAATACATAATCAACGCAAATATTTATTTTTGTAAACAAAACACAAATTTTCATCTTAATTAATAAACAAAGAAATAGGCTTAAAGTGTATCTTAGCTCCAGAAATTAAATTTCAAAATGGAAGATTCATTGTTCTTATTTATTTGATTATAACACACTAAAGAAAGAAAATAAAACTGATGTACATTTATCTCATAAAAATTCCCATAAATTTCATTGTGCAATTCTAATAAAAAAGTTTTTTTTTCTGACAAATATTCTTTCTTAAGTTTATTGATATTACGAAGAAATGTGTCATGTTAATTCAAAATTAAAGCACCCAAATTTAAAAATATTTATTCTAAATAAATACCATGATGCTATAAAATCTCACCTGATTTTTTAGTGTAAGAGTCAGCAAATGCGAGGCACTGTATTGCTTCTGAACTGATGTTTTCCAAACTAGACATGCTGGAACTCCTGGACCTTGAGAACGAACTGTCTAACTTATCTGTTGAGAAGGGTGTGAAGGGGGAAAGAAAAGAAAAATATTAATTCCAGAAATATATTTAAAATAGGGGAAGAGTATCATGCAAGTAACTATACTTATGAATTGTGTTATGTCAAGAACACGAATAGTACGAGTATTTATTTTTACAATCTCACAGAATAAAATTTAATTTAAAAAAATTTCAACAGAAGTTAAACATGTGAGTTATCAAATTGTTACATCTTGATATTACAGTTTCTTCAGTTCTACAAAATTTGTATTTCCACGAATTCTAGTATCTCTAGTTACATTAAAACTATTCTATTGGTAAAGGTTGGTACTGATTACTGATAAAAAACTGATAATAACAATTGTATTCTTTTCATGCACATTGCTGATTTTCACTTTTATTCGTCTTAGATAATTGTAATGTTAGAAGTATCAAATTGACTATTACTGTAATCTACACTTTAATATAACTTCTAACAGCAGCAGGGGGTATAATAAAAAAGCATGGAGAAGCATATTGCATTACATATATGAAGAAAAAAAAATTGGATGTTAGTAATTTGAATATCATGTGGTATTGCTTGCATTCAATGCATTCATGAAGCCAGAGCAGGGATAAGCAGTAGCGACCACGGGCAAACAGCAAAATAGTTATTCGCCTCCTGTTTAACTAAAGTTTTCTTAGAAATTATATTAGCATAATATTTAAAATTAACATAAGAAAATATGCAGAAAATTTTATAAGATAAATGAATGATAAAAAGAACATTAAAAATTGCTCCTGTAGACAGCAAATTAATATGAGAGTGATATCCATGTCAAAGCTTCTGCTGATGATGATTATCATATTTAATCTTGTAAGGAACAATTTAATTTCCTTTTCATGACCATTATATAATAGTCTTTGTGGTTATAAAATATTTAGTTAAAATTTAATACATGAACTCAGAAAGAAGCTTCAACGTACAAGCATTAGCTCAGTTAAATCCTACCTATGGAAGTAGCATTTCTTGCAACAATGCAGAAGTTTAATTAAGCTTGAAATTTGTTTATTTCCACATTGAAACACAGCTTTGATAGTTATTTCTACATAACTTAGATTATAGATTACTGCTGAAACAATTGTATTGAAACTTGCCACATTGCTACAAGATGTAATAAACATTTGTTAACAAGAATAATTTCTTCACTATTTCACAAGAACAAAAAATTTCATGCAGTAAAATTAAAGAAAACTATACAAACTTGAAATACCTTTCAAAAGAAAAATAAATGAGTTGTAACTGATATACAAGTACTAAAGAAAGACAATGAGAAAAGTTGAAAAAAAGAATTAAATGTGATTATGCACACAGAATTCACTTTGATAAAAAAGTAATACAAACAAAGAATTAATCAACAATACATTGGATCACTTTCATTTAAGGAAGCATTTGTCAGATAGCAACAATGAGCAATCCTACTCTTAAATACTTCTTATCTATATTTACCTCCACTTATTCACCCCATCTTCAAGAAATATAACTTTTCATATTGCCTGTCTTAAAAAAATATATAATCAGCTTCCATATATTTTTGGTAGTTTTTTCTCTTTAAGGTATACCAGTTAAAACCATGCAATGATTTTAGTGCAAACATTTATGGTAAATAAAAAGGGTTAATAGTGAGTGCATTGAGGCTAGTGTTTACTGCACTTGGACTAGAAAACCAATATAGTTGCTTACGATGAATTGTATGAAATGTATTTTCAAAGGAGGAGAATTATCTTTTTTAACAAAACACCTCAAAACAGATATGTAACAAAATCAAATTGTTGAAATTAACAATGAATTTCAGTGTAAAGTGAATCTAGTTAAACACTCATTGAGGTAAAACCAAAAGTTGAAACTTGCATTTTTCCATTACAAGGTTAGCTTTAAAGTGTTTCATTTCATGAAAACATGCTAGAAAAAAAGAATAAGAAAATGAAAGGAATGTTCATAAAATTTAAGAAAGGTGCAAGATTCATGCAATAGTAAGAAAACAATGGCTAAAATAGTTTTCAAATAAGAACATACATGCAAAACGCAGAACAATTGAAACAGCACCAAAGAAGAAATGAAGTATAAAATTGAATAAGAAATAGAAGAGTGAAAAAGTCATATTAGTTCGGGGACCATCAAATTATCAGACAACACCGATGATAAAGTTAAACAAAAATATATTGTTCAGAATTTGCCACTTTATCATTCTTTAATCAAAAACTTGTTCATTATGGCATGTGAGACAATTCATTATCAAATAATGTTATTAATAATTAGCACTTATAAGAAAGTTTTATCACACAAAAACACTAAATTGAAATAAATTTTTTAATCGAGATAATGATAATAATAATTGTTATTATTATGTTATGTCCAGGAATTAATTAAGAAGTTCAAACAATTTCAATCATAATAGAAAAGACCCACATCATCATGTTAAGGACATTTTAAAATTATTGAATGATTTTGCTTTAAATTAGTTTTTTTTTGCTTGCTGGTTCAATATACACAAACTAACTTAATTTTCATAAAGTATTTCCAGATTTCCACGTAGGCACTCTTTTTCATAAACAATTATAGCAATCATTAAATAAAATAGAAAGAAAAGTACCCTAATTGTCAGAAAACATTCAGTGTGGAACTTGTAGGGTACAAGTACCAGTAGAGTGGAGATACAAAAGATATGGAGAGAGGAAGAGACAAGTCAACTCAAAACCATGAGAGAAGTTAGTGACAGAGCAATACATGTAATACACTTGGTGCAGACATCTTTGCACTTGTTAAGAGAAGAGTTCAAGGAGAAGTTTGAAGTTTTGGATAGTACGTCACCATTTCTCTACCTACAGCCTTGCTACTGTAACATAAGAAAATTAAAGGAGACCTCATGCTGTGAAAGGATATTGACTAAAGAGTGTTTCCTGAAATCTACTTAGTGTTGATCTAGTACAAGAGTGTGCCATTTTGCTAATAACAAAATTAAATTACACAGATGCTAATAGTCTGCATTTCTCCATAAAAATATTACATAGAGGTACTGCACAACAATTACTATCTCAAAATCAAAACAAATTTGCTTTATTGAAAAGATACTACTTATGTGGCCTTTACTGCTTCCACTGCAATTAGCAATTGGAAACAAAGTTTCAAATTGGTATATTTCTCAAATGCAACATAAGGGCACTACATTACAATTTGAAATGCTACTTTTGTATTCTGAACATCTTTCTCAATTGACTTATTACATATTCACTCAGTTAATGAAATGAGAAAAGACTTGTTCAACATGTTACAAGACTAGCTATTATTCAAGATATACAAACATGAAAGTGAATGTACAAACTTTATAGTTGAAGGGAATATTAAACTAAAACCCATGAAATGTTGCACTTGACAAGAAAATTTCTAAAAATAAATTTGCTAATGCTCTCCAAATTGACAAAAGATGTACAGCATATTTTATAATCTTCAAAGTTTTTAGAGAAGTAGCGACTACAGTTTAAAGTAATTTAAATGTACTAAGAAATAATCAAACTACTATCAATATTAAGTTGGGTCAGGAATCCACCTAAAACTAGAAAATTTCAGGCTAACACTACATATTGTTCAGGTATTATCAATTTACCATACAAAATTATCACTCTTTAGTTAAGTAGTCACATACCACAATAATCACAACAATTTGAACCTGCTTAGGCTACACAATATAAATTTTGATTATATTAACAGTTTATAATACCTATTGAAATATATTACTCCTCAATGCAATAAAAAGGTGACAAAATAACTACAAATCTTGATTAAAGGCTTTCAAAACATTGTGACTATGCATTTCACTCAGCAATTCACAGCACAAAGTAATGCTGGATTCTTGTTATGTTCTAAGAAACTTTCTTGTTAAATTTAACGATAAGAACTTTAAAATACTTAAATTACCAGAAGTCTGAAATTTCATTTGCAAAGTTAATGTATCTCTATTAACTTAATAACTTCTTTTAAACCTAAAATAAACAAAATAATTTACAAGTTAAATATTTTTTTCAACAATATATTTGATAAATAATAGTGCCAGAATATTTATTAAAATGGTTCACTCTACAGTGTGAGATGAAAGGAAGTTGGATGAATGCACATAATAGCAGGTTTATATTCATTTCAATACCCTTCTTATGTGCCAGTGTATCTAATGTAAAAGAAATATTTGGATTAAAGATAATATACAAAAGTGAAGTTCACATAAGGATGTATAATGAAAACATTTTTTTCTTGAGGAAGAATTAGAATACTTAAATTTTCTACAAAACTAACAGCTTCTTCTAAAATTATTACCTCTGCAACAAATGTTTTAAAGGAATTTTTCTATATTTAGTAATGTCATATAATTTCTTAGCAATTAACTTAATGTTCTTTAAAGTTACTTTATTTTTAATTTATAAGCAATTTCCAAACCTCTGGAAATACGTCTTCATCAACATAATGTGATATCAGATTTACTTGAAATCATATTTCTTCATCTAATTGAACCATGAAAATTTTCAAAATATGACACTATATAACTATATACACTACATAAAGTATGTTTCATAACACATAAGAAAGTATTGTTGAGATACAAATACACATGAACAAGTTTAAACAATATTTGTTTAAAAAAATGTCGCATGCAAATTTATCATTATGCAAATGATTGACAACTGGCAATGCGGATTGTTAGTAAGAAACTTTTCTTCACAACTAACACTTCAATATTGAATAAACATGCAAAACACTATTACACAGTGCAAGAGGACTTAAGCAGAAATAAGTTTCCTTACATCTTTTATAACATTTTTCTATTTATTATATTAATTCCTACGAGCAATAGATGCAACTAGCACTAATGGAAGAAATGTATAACTATTAAGGACTACTAACAAGATATGTTTTTAGAACAATACCTTTTTTTTATTAAAATATTAATTTTGAAGAATACTTTGGAGTAAATGGGAACAAGAAAACAGCATATGAACTCTAGAAATAATTTGTAATAAAGAAAGACAACATCTTTGAAATTTATAAAATTTATTTCAAATATACTTTGTTAAAAAGTTTATTTCTGATATAAATACTTTAAAGTAATTTTATCAATTTTCCTAACATGCTGCATACTGCTGAGGAATATGCAAAATTACAAATATTCTCTAGAAATGACAAATTAACATTTTTAACTACTTCACTACACTAGGAAAAAATAGGTGACAGTACTACCAAAACTGCAATATTGTCGAGTAACAAGAAGGCTGTTGTGAGATGTGCCGCCGCGTGATTCAGTGGTTGCTGAACGGGCAAATAAGCCACCACCTCCAGCAGTTCCAGAGAGAGCACCTCCACCTCCTCCACATCCTCCACCTCCACATCCCGCCCCCCCGCCAGCACTGGCCGGGGTTGTCAACGACCAATTGGAGGACCCCGAACCCATTGACCCCTCCGGCTCCGAGTAGGAGGCAGTACTCAAACACTTGTGCAGTCTGCGGGTACCTTGCGACTTAGATCGCCGCACCGGCTCGGTTGGCCGGCCGCGGGGGGAGCTAGAGCTGCCGCCAGCACCTACCACCTGTTTGCCCGCAGTCGGGGAGACGCACACCCCATTTATCTACAAACCGGGGGAGGGGTGCAAGGTTAATATTGACAGCTTGCTGCTCTTAGTACGCTGACAGTTAGTAGTAACGAGAAGAAGGACAACATTGATCTCCATAACTTGTAAGAAATACATTTAAATTTTATAGTATTAACAGAACTGGTCAGTTTTATTACGACACTCATCACTGATAGAAAAGGTAGTGACTAATTTGAAAGGAACTGTTTCAACAATAATTTTGAAATGTTCATTACAACTTACACTTCACTTTTAATAAAAACATAATAACATTTACATAATAATAATAATAATAATTTTTAGAAAATTTCAGTTAAGTTGAAAAATAAACAATTCAATAAAAACAAGAAAGTTTTAGTACACTTTTCCATCCTTGACAAAGTGATAGGATTTTTTAATTTATTTTTCTTCAGTTCAATGTAAATTATTGTTCTTCATTTTTTTATATGTAAGGCAGACTAGGAGATATTTGCCGGTTACAACAATTTCATTTTTAATACTGGCTTTTATAATTAAATCCATTGATTGATTTGATCCATTGAGTTTTCAACAACGTATTGGTTTCATAAAAACTACATATACAGTTTTATAAATTAAAGGGCTCCAATAGTACAAACTAGAAAATTAAATTAAAAGCAGGGAAGATTTATCAAACATTCATCAATTACATATTTTAATTAAAATATCAGAAACTCTAATTTAGAAAAATTCTCTTCAATTTTCTATCCCTATTTTTTGACTTCCTCTAGTCTGTCTCATCACTTTTGAGAATTATTATTATAATTTATAATTTCACTTGTTTGTTACAGAGAAGGAAAATTCTTCTTTGTTAACACTTATACAAGTTTAGAGATAAATGTCACCCTCCTTTCTGTCACAGCAACAGCATTCCACTTGGAGAAAATAACAGCTCTACTGTCAAAGAACAAACAATGAAACACCAACAAAATAAAATAACAAGTAAACACATTGTCAGGTTTTTATTTTTTTTGTAAAATTAAATAACACGAGCTGTCATTTTCTACTTTATTCCTACACCATTGAAGCCCTGCAACTACCCAACTACAGTCTCTGGCTGGTATTTACCAAACACATGAATACCAAAAAGGTATTTTAGGCAGCTATGGTCACCATCTGAATCCTTAAAACAAGGAAGAAAAGAAAACACAAAAGTAGTGAAAAACAAATCACAGAACCCAGAATTAAAAGTGGTAACAGGATTACAGTAACTCAGAGACGTATTATCAAGTAGGCAGAGTGTGCACAAAACTTCCAATTTGATTGAGAGTTAGAGAATGGAAATTATGAAAATAATGTACAATTTTGAAATAGATTGCCCCAAAAGCAAAGAGAGAGATTTATTCTGATTAGAACAAAATTTAAGATCTGTGCAATTCTTGGTCACAAAAATGGCATCACAAAGCTATTTTACATTGCATACACAAGCTTATTACGACAAGAATGAAAATATAAAGATTGTTGCCTTTTAGGAAAGCAATAATTACAATGGCAAAGCATTTCCTCTCATACGATATGGTGGCTGGGCAAGTTTTGTGCTTTTACTCCATCTACCAACTTGATGAATAAAACCTTACCCAACATATTCAGAAAAGTATAAGCCAGAGAAGGAAGGGATATAGTTTAGGTTATTTTTGTAGGGCTTCCCCAAATCATACACTTCTTATTAAGCTATTAGTCCTGTAAAACAAAGATAATTTGTTAGTATATCGGCTTCCAAAAACATCCTCCCATACTTCGCATAAGCTTAACTGATTAGTTTTGGAATTTTGATGTTTGATCTGGTCCCATACAGTAAAATGAACAAAAAATGTAATGAAAATAAAAATGCCAATAAGTAAAAATAACGCAGCAAAAAGACAGCAGGTGCAGACATAAAAGAAGAATAAATAGACATCTGGAAAACAATTTTATCAATATTTTAGTTTGTTTTCCCAAATGAGACAATTAAAATATTTTTGGAAAATTTCATACACAAGAGAAAATTGATTTAATTCTGATTGGCTCTGTCTTGTTGTCCCAAGGAAACTTATTTTATAAAATCTAAATCCAATTCTTCTTTTTGTATTCACCCGATTCTTTTAGAACAAAATCATCTGACTTTTGTCAGAGTAAAGAAATTAATGTACATGACTTAAAATACACTGTTAATTTCTATAAACAAGGAAAATAACAATCAAAACAGATAAGGTTAAGGAAAAACATAACAGGGTAATGTTTTTCACCATTATCTCTGCTTACTAGCAAGGACAACAATGAACCATAAGATGGAAAATCAAAGCAAGTCCACAACCATTCCTAAACTACTTCTTGAAACTATATACTCTACACCAAACACCAATACCTAAGAAAAAGAAATACGATCATTCATTCATTCCATCATTCATCTTAATTTCTACAACCTTCTAGAAAGGTGCTTTTTAGGGAAGGAAGAAAAACAGAAGTTGGAATGAGACGGTCAAGAGGACACACTGGCACAGCACTTACTCAGGCGGCGAATCAGGTTGCTGAGAGATGGTTGGTTTGACCCTGTGTCTTCTTTGGACCTCAAGTCTCGCAACAAGTGGTCAGGTTTGTGGTACTTGATGTTAGGGACAGACAGCAAGCGAGAGTCTCGTTTGTCCAAAGGCTTCTTTTTACTTTCCTTGCGAGGTGGGCGCACTGGCTTCCCATCTGTATCAAAAAGGGGGAGATCCACTGGCCTGCTGACCCTCTGAACCACTCTATCCTCTGTTACTGGAACACGAGTCTGAATTGTATCTTCATCTAGCCCCTCTAACTGTGTAGCTCCAGATTCTGAAGATAAATCTTCCCTGTCATCGGACTGTCCACTTGGGTTTTCACTTTTCAATTTTGCATCTGCATCAGGCGATTTAACTGTCATCTGTGCAAATACTTCTTTCTGCTGATCCTCAGTGTCTTTGAATTCTCCCTTATCTTGATTTTCTATTACACTAAGAATTCTATCACAATCTTCACTATTTGGTGTGTCTATTTCCCTAGCTGCATCCACTAAACTATCCACTGATGTTGGGGGTTCAGCTGGGGATTGCAAAGAAGGAGTATTGCTTAAGTCTGCAGAAGATGAACCACAATAAAAAACTGAGGACCGTTTCTCTTTTTCAGGGTTACTGGCACTAATAGTGGTACTCATAGAGCCTGCAGAAAATGTGTGCTTCAACTTCTGATCAACGCGACTCAACTGTTTCTTCAGACTAAACCCTTTCCAAGCACTACTTCGGCGGCGATGTGAGACAGATTTTCCAGGTAAATCAGTTACAACTTCTCCAGGGGAAATATCCTGTTTAGTTTCAGGAGGAGGACATGGAGATGAGGGAGGGAGTGACGGCATAGCTTCTTCTGCTTGGTCAATATCAGGCGTGAGGGCCTGTGGAGTAGCACATGAGGTGCTACCTACTGGGCTCTGAACTTCGATGTCAAGGTCCATGTTCTCGTCAGGAGCTGCCTGACTGAGAGGGCTAGGGCAGGTGACAGAGATGACAGCAGCTTCTACAGGAGAACCACCAGAGGGTTCCACAGTCTTGAGGGACGCCAGCTAGCAGAGCATGCGGGAAAAAGGTTAGGGTGGGAGAAGAAAGAAGCAAAACAAATGGTGAAAAAATGATTATATTTTGTTTGAAGGCAAGATAAAAACTCAATAATAGATTAAAAAACTTGAAATAAAGTCAAAAGTTAAAATAACAAAAAGAAGTAAAAACACTTTCTGGCAAAACTTGAACTAGCTCATCTCAACAGTACTAAGGAGGATACAGTTTCGGAATATGCTAATTAAGAAGTAATCTGTGGTCTTGATCACAGGTTAATAAGGGAATAGATGGAGCTCAAATATGAACTCTCGTGATGGAACTTCAGGGATTAGTTTGTCCTTTGAGAGTAGTTTTCAGGATATAGTAAATGCAAACTAATTTAAAAGATCAGAACTATGATTGGGGTGGAATATAATTATTAAATGTGAATTCATAAACTTAAAATAAGATTGATTATATTAAATATTTACTATTGCCAGTTCAAGAGGACCAGAAAGTGGTTAACTGCAATAATTTGTATTATGCTTTAAATCTGTCTTTTGAAAGATGGTTTGGAGCCAATATTTCAAAAACACATATAAGTATTTTCTAAAAAACATTTAAGTAGCTAAAATACCGAGTAAATTGCACAAGTAGCTATATAAAACATATTAACAAAATAAGACACAGCAGGAAAATACTGTTGGATACTGTAGACAAAATGTCAGCAAAAAAATAATTTAGCAGTTTCCTACTAATACATGACTACAGCTCATTTAGACATTAAAATAGGTGTCTGGAACACCAACACTTTGTTAGCAACTAATAAATGCTAATGTATTTATAATCAGGGCGTTAATGGTATAAGCATGCCAAATAAAAAATTCTGGCAGAAGAAAAAAAATGCTTTGACTATTCTGTGTAAGGAGACAATGGATTAACATTTGTATAAAAAGGTAATTTTTAAGAAAAATGTATGAAGGTATAAATAATTAGTACATTCAGAGCAATGAGCACTGTTTTTTTATTTCAGGCAAAACTTGTTTCTATTAGAAAATGCCAATTAAGGCTATTTTAAACTCTTGAACAACTACATATTAATTACGAAATTGATTTTATTTTACATTACTTAAAATCTCTGAGAAGTACACAAAAATTCAATAATTAAACAATTAATTAAAAATAAGACAATGAAAGACTCAGTTGCATTTTTATTTATGTACAAAAGAGATTGGATTTGTTTTACAAGATATGCATTTGCAATATGTTACAGACTCATTTCTAAAGAATGAAACATGATTAATTTGAATAGTAGTCAATATATGAACTATCAAATACACTCTAGTAGTTTCAAAGACAATTTTGGGCAAAAAGGTCCCATTTTGCATAATTATGCAATCTGTCTGATTCATCAAAAACTGAAATAAATCTACCACAAGAACTAGTAAAACAATAAAAAGAAATAGAAAGAAAGAAACATTTAATATATGAATATTTTAATGTGTGTAAATAAGTAAGATAAATAATATATTGTTTAAAAATTAGTATGTTTTTTAATTGTATTTTCATGTATTATTTTAAAATTTGCTTTTGCATGAAACTGGGGAAGAAAACCACATTAACAGTGAAAGAAAAAAATTTGCACTTTACAAGGCAAAAATTGAAATTGACATTTTTAAATATTAAATTGTTAAAACAAATAACATTTGGAATTATTAAATATATGGTTACAATTAAATCATTAAATGAGTCATCCAGTTACTGAATTGTTTTTGTTCTTTCACAACTTACCTGTTTCTTGTATGCTCACTGCTCTGGAAAACTCAAGAAGAAATGAACGATACACAATTTTCATTTTCACTGATTCCTTAGACAGAATAATTTTAATTTCCTTGTCTAAAATTATATCTCGGTGCAATTAATTTTAACCTATTTTTAAGTTTGGCTACTAATAGTCAAAATTTTCAGAACGTTGCATTAAAATTAATAGATCAAAAGTGAGGTGTTCCAGCAAGATATTTTTCTTTCATGTTAAATTTCACACACAATCCAGCAATACCTGATCCGTGCTTGGAGATCTGCAGCGATCCTCATTATCACGATTGTTGTCACTTTGGTTCCTCTTAGGAGACCGTGGTACACGCTGATAAGGATCTGCATTTCCATAAAGATCAGGTGTTCCCACATTCATAAGACACACCTTCTGGACTATGTCCACTAGTACAATTCCACATTCATTCCCATATGCCATTCTGAAATACATATAAATTACTCATTTTCACTTAGTCCATTCCAACAAAAATTGAAGCTAATAAAATGTAAGTATATTATGTAAGTGAACTATCTGCTCACAGGCCATATGAGGAGTTGATACTGAGAGCAGTGATCTGCCCAGGTGGGTCGCCATTGATATATGGGGTTAGGCACACAAGATGTGCCTGAAATCCTGGTGGCTTCTTGAACTGCCCTGCACGCACTCTAAGTGCACAAGTATATTCAAGAGAAGACTGTAAAAAGATGCATTTCTTCAATTAATACAAAATCATAAATGGACAATAACAGGTTGTTGTTTCATTTCTAAATGATTTTTTAGCAGATTTTCCAAGTAATACAGATAGTATAATTTTAGGTAAGTATTATAGTAAAGAGGATGTGCCAAAGAGAAAACCTTCAAACAGCTCAGAATGTTTATAACATCTATGGAAACACTGTTACCTAAAGTCTATGTGACGCTGGGCATAATAAGAATTATTATTATACAAATACACATAATTATGTCTCAGCTGTTTGAGGCAGGCCTGCATTTTGGAACCACAAAATATTTTGTTTAAAAAATATCAATAAATATAAAATGTGTTATTCAGTCATGAGTTTGATAAAAGTAGGCAATGTTCTTATAAGAATGACCTCACAAACTTTAAGGGAAAAAAAGAAGAAAAATATTCCATAGCCTGTACAAAATACAAATGAAAACATTGAATACATTGTATCTATGTTAGAGACAGGTCACTCAATCAATTCAACAGAAAAGTTTTTAACAAGTACTTCGATTAGTGGGATCCTTTGCAAAATGAGATTTTTAAGTTCTGCACTTCTCTTACTTTTTTGCTCTCTCCTTCAAGAGAATCATTCTTAGATGATGCTGCCAGAGAAGGTCTGGGAGGATACTCATAGTCTGGAGAGCAGTCTTCCTCTTCAGTAGGTTCATAAATGATGGGGATTTCCAATACCTATAATTATGAAAAATGAAATGTAATAATAAACTACTCATATGTAATATACATGTATCAGTCAAATATTATGTGTATTATATTCACTCTTCAAGAGTTTTTAAAAGATTAACTTTATTTAAATCTTTACTCTTTAATTTAAAATAGTAGGTACTCATGTGCTTTATAAAATATTTTTGATTTTGTAATATTTCACCTTATACTGAAAATAGGAATAAAAACAACAACAAAAAGACACACACAAAAAGTGATACAAATAAATAATTTTAGTTAGTTTTAAACTTTTGGTGGTCAAAAGTAATGGCTTGCAGGAACAAAAATGCTGAACAAAACCACACAAAATTATTTTCCAAAAGGTAGCACACACAATGCTCAAGAACAAATAAAATACTTTGATGTAACATTGCAAAAAATGAAATAATTTAACAAAACCATTCTTCTTATATACTGCAATAACACAGTATAGTATTTATATACAATACAACTATTCTTTGAATACCAAGAATATAAAAAATAATTGTTTTTCCATAACACAACATGTGAATAGCACATTTTTAATTGCAGTCAGCCACTTCCTATATAATGATTTTTTTTCCCCTACTCATTTTTTGAATAGATTAAAATGTGCTTAAAGAAAATTGCAGTTTCAATCTTTAAATAATGACAAGAACAGCTTTCTCAAAATATGAATAGTTTTCAAAATAACTCTTCACTTTCAATATACAAGCAGAAATTTCCCATTGAATACAATATTATATTTTAACATCATTTTATATACTCTCTATTCAAAATATAGAGAGTTTTACAGTAATTTTGAGTAAACTCATGACAAATATCCAGAAATACATAAATATGTTATTCACAAAAGTGGCACGAAATCTTCCCTTGAAATATTTTGTAAGGACAGAGCATGATACACTAAATTCTATGATATAAATGCCATTTTTGTAGTCATGTATGACTACATGACTGCAACCATACAGGATTAACTCATATCTTACTTAGAATGGAATAAGAAATGTATAAATATTTAAAACTATTTTCTGTGAAAAATGTAATCCAAAACAAAAATCTAAAAAGGAAATAAATGAACAAAAAACACTAGAAGAGCCACACAAAAATTTTCAAATTAATAAACAGAATACACTCACATATGTTTCTGAAACAGACTCTTGCTTACGAAATTTGAAGACAATCACATGGCTACTAGCACCTGCCACACACAATTTGCGGCTTTCTGGGCAAAATGAAATCAACTGTATAGCAAAAGGATCTTCATCAGAACCATCAACACTGCGAGCTCGAGGTTTTTCAAATACTTTGGCAGTCTTCAATTTGTACAGTACTTGCAGGGTACCAGCAGAAGCATCCCAGAATTTTATGCTGCCATCAGCATGCCTAAACATAAATTACATTATCAGGATCAGCTGGTAGCACATTGTTGCAAGTCAAATTAACCTAAACTACATGTGATTTCAAAATTGATCATGTAGTTCAAATAATTAATTGATTAGTAATTCATAAGATATATTACTCAAACAGTTAAGAGCAGTTTTAAATTAACTTTTGCAAGGATTTATCAGTATGCCTCCTTTTCAATTTACTAAATATAATACAACTAGAAATAACATTTCAAATATACAAGTAGGAAAAAAAATCTAATATACTAATAAGGTATTAGCTTTAAGATCTACATGAAAGAGAAAAAGTACATTTTAAATTCATGACTGTTATTTTGGATTCATACAAATATTGTTAGTATTATTAAAATTATAGTATTGTAAATATTATAGTATTATTAAAAAGTGGAAAAGAAGCAGTAACAAGTTCTATCTCTGATATACAGCAAATCAAAATTAAGTTCTTCTCACCCAGTGAGAATGATCTCATTGTAGCTGCATGATGTAGGACTCCACTCTCCACCACTCAGAGGCCATTCTCTCTCACTGAAACCAGTTCGCTTCTGAACCCGGGAGCCCACAGAATAGAATGCTGGGATGAGATCAGAAGGGCAGTCAGCCAAGTAGGTACAGCATGTAACAGGTGACTCGTGAAGATCCATTGGGTAAGGGTTCTCAAAGCATGGGTAGCCAGGACTCATTAGATCTATCACGACCAAGTCATTGTGAAGAAGCACAACAATTGCATATGGATCTTGAAAGTCTGCAAAGAACAGAAAGTACATTTTATATGCACTGTTTACTTAGTTTATAAATTTATTTTCATTTCAAGAAATGTAAAGTTTTCATTAAGATAAAGATTAAAACATTTGTAATTTTCCATTAAATTATATTTATAAACTTACAAAACAGCTCCAAATACTGTTTTTGCAGTTATTAAAAAAAATTATATTATAGGCACTCCTTTTAATTCAGAAATGTTACACCATCATGAAGGACTCTAATTATATTAGGGAATAAGGGGGGAAAAAGGAAGAAAATATTTCATAGCAATATCAAAGTTTGAACTTACCACTCGTCCAAGGACTTTCACAAAGGGTAATGAAATCCACTACATTATGTTCCATCTCTAGAACCGTGGTTGTCTTGCCATGAATTACTGTTATACTAGGAGTACGGCCAGCTTTGTCATAAGTAAGACCTCCAGAGAAAATGACATATGCTTCCCTGAAATCACCATTTAAGTTAATCACATTCCTAGTTACAAGGAAACTAGGAAGCAAAAATTGTATTATAGAAAAACTACAATTATCTGAACTCCAATTAGCCAAATCTCCAATTTCCTCTACTGACATGGAAGAAAAAAATTAATAAACATGATTTAATTTTTGGTTTCTTTTTTAAATAAATCTTACAGAATTCAAATAGTATGATTGTTAAATTTTAATTCATGAATTTACACAGAACTTTTTCCTATGATTGATGTCTTTTATCACTTAATTTTTGAGCTTTATCCATTCATCTTAATTTCAACATGTCTAAATTGATCCAGCCTTTTTTAGTTGGACAATTGGAGATCTATTTTACTATAATCTTACATCGACAAGAATTTGTGTTCCAAATTAATATGGAAGAGTTGAAATTAGAATAATTCATTACCATGATTCCACAATTATAATTATGACTAAAATTTAAATTCAATCCATCTCACAACAGAAAGTACTTTGAAAAAAAAATAAATAAAACAACCATTTTACAAAATTTTTCATTGAATAATTTTCTAACTTATTACTTAACTTATTATGAATTGCAACATTTCACTTTCTCTTCGACTTTACAAGAAATGCAATCACAAAAAAATATTCCTCACCCTGTTTTTGATGATTTCCATTCCACTTTCTGGATGGGTTTACAGGATTCTGGCTTTCCATCCTTATTGGCTTTGGCTAAACAATTAAGACAAAATCATTAATCCAAAATACACAATAATATATCCCAAATTTCTAAACAGTAATATGTAGTATGTTTGTGAAGACCAAAGGAATGTAATTTTAATATTTGGTGAGTGATGCAATGGGCTCTGCCTTAAAGAAAACATATAGCATCTTGTAGTGTTTGTGGGTATAATTCAACTGAATACATGGATGCAAGAACAGTGTTAGGTATTCAATACTGTTTAAATGTAAATGCTGTAACTGATAAATCTTCAAATATTGATTCCATAATTCTTAATTCACTGTGTTGTCTGGCAATTGAAGGAGAACTATGAATGTAACTGTATACTGTTCTTGCAATTTCAAATTTTCAAGACCTTTTTTTCAACACAGTATTTCACTACTATTGTTCCAATTGCTCTCGAGTATTCAATTAATAGCAATATTTCTCAAGGTTGCACAAGTCAAGGTGAGATTAAGAATGAGGATATATGGATTGTATAAAGAAAATATTCCATGAACAACAGAATACAAGGTATAAAGAACTGGAGGCAACTTAGAGACAGAATAACTGCCAGGAGATTACTGAAACAAATGCAAAAATATAAAATTGGAGGAAGAGGTCGCACAGGTGGTGGGGCAGTAAGTGCATTGGAAGCGATGATGGTGGTTGAGGCAGAGGAAGTGGAGGTGATTGGGTGAATGAATTATTTGTGTGATGCGATGCTATCAATTATTAGTAATTGTTTTAAATAAATTGAATGAAATTACAAAATATATATTGACCCTTCAGGAGCCGTTGCTCAGGAACCTCCCCCCCCCGCCTGAATCCTTCACTGAAGCGAATAGACTCGTAGGCGTCGTTAGGAGAATTACTTAACTGCGCTCCGTGAAGGGACGAAAGTTAAGCAATTCGAGAAGGGTGGGTTTGTGGTCGGGTGACCTTGTGGAAACCCTGATTACAAACGGCTCCAAGCCCCTGGCCAAAGGGATAAAAGACATTGACTGGGACAAAAAAGTTAACGGAGTGCTACACCGATGTGCGCAATCCCCAGGAAGTGATGCGTAGTGTTGTAAAGAGAGGCGAGCGGGACGAGGAGACCTGCACGGGCCAGGGGCCCTGCCACTCACCGTGGGGGTGCGACACGTTGACGGGGCGCGGCTGCTGGCGCACGGGCCACGTGGTGAGCGAGCCGTCCGTGTGCGAGCACATGAACTGCTTGCCTTCGTGGTGCCAGCTCACGGACTTGAGGGGCTCGGCCGACTGGAAGCGCAACTCGGCCTGCTTGGTGCGCAGGTCCCACAGCACCACCTGCCCCGACTCGAAGCCGATCAGCAGCTGAGGACAGTCAGGGGCCGAGGCCGTGAGCTTTGCCGCTGGGGGGCAACCGTCGGAAACCAGAGGCATTGGGAAGGGGATCGTTATTTTGAACCAAAAATCCACCATACACAAACACAATTCATCTCTCCACGCGACAGAAATAACTTGTAGCGGTTAATTAGAATGAAAGGAAAACACATTTGCTATGTTTTGAATGAAAAAAAAAAAACGTGGCTCCAATTAAGTCGAAGCTTGGGTCAAGTTGCCCTTTCGGCCGACACTGGCATTCGTACCAAGAACGACCCCAAACCCCGACCACTCGAGAAACTACTAATGGAGCACCAACAGCATATACTTTTTCGCGATATTGTTAATGGCTATGTAATATAATATGACAATTCCTGTCTTACACTTCAACTACCATTTGAAAAATTCCTAAACAAATGAAGAGTGAAAAATTAATAATTTTTTCATCTCATTAAGAAAACAATTATCTTCATAGTTGTAGTTGTAGAAAAACGCTGACAAAATTTTAAAGTTTTCAATATTCGAAAAAGTAGCATTTTTAACCAACATGATATTTTCACCATTCTCCTAAACATTCTTCACATTCTCTAACAACAAAGTTTAATCAAAAACGTTGGAATTTTTTTGAACATTTTGAAAATGTCTCAAGTGCTTCACGTAAAGAACCCCCAAAAACCGAAATATTGGTTTCACGTTCACGGGGCCGTACAACAGCCAAGGGGCCACGTTAGTTACAGGATATTTTTTTCTACATTAGGAACTGTATTTATCCACTTTTTCGTTACCAGGCCCAGTAATAAGAGCTTATCTGCCGAAAGTTTTCTGTCGCGCAGCATTACATAACGTTCTTTCTACTGCGTAAGCGATAATAAGAAAGTAAAAAGGTTGGTCCTTGATTTTTTATTTACAAAAAACACTTGTATCAAAGACCGGTCACAACTTTACTCCTCAATGTGTTTTTTTGGTTTCAGTAAAATGCTCCAATAATTTTAAAACTTAAGATTTATCCTATAAATTACATATCCGATGAATCAAGACATTTGTCAAAGTCAACGAGTCCTGTGACGCAAGAAAGAGGATCTCGTCACTGAACCCTAAAAAAGTCACTCTTGATCTGATTTTTGAAAATGAATGAAATTTTGTTCTCCATAATAAGGTCTTTCATTACCGTCATGCACATTCTTTGAAAAATGTTAGTAATTTTCGACCAATATTGTTTCCAATATATGCAATTTTAAAAAATAACAATTTTTTAACAAAATAACACATTTTCTTAAAAATGGCTCCAAATTTTTTCTTTAAACTTTTGGTACGCGTAGTGCTACACGTGCTCTACGAGATGACAAACGTCATATTGCTCTATTCTTTTGTTTTTCAAAAATGGTTCACATTTGTTCATACTTACAAAAATGTCATCTTTTACTTCTCTCACGTCGTTAATATTTACATTGACGGCAATTTATTCACACCGTTATATTTATGAGAACACTATTGAAAACTATTTCAAAATTTCGCATTTTCAGAAACGCTTAAACGCCATTTTCTCACAAACGGCTCCAAATTATTTCTCTTTAATTAGACGTAAAGTACATTCCGGGATATTCTTTAATTGTTATTTAAAAATTACACAAATGTAATATTTTTGAAAGATTACGCCGGTAATATGCAGTTTGTAAACACTATTGTATTTGTGAGTTTAAATTCTTCAAAATACTTCAAATTAAGTTTTTCAAAAATTCAAAATTTTTCTGTGAAAAGTTGCTTCAAATTTCGAATTTACTTTAGCGCTTAAGCGCCGTTTTCTTGAAAACGGCGCCAAAGTTTTCAAAGGAAATTGCCATTTAGGAAGAGGTTTACTGTTTTTAAAGTAATATTACTGTTCTTTAATATTCTTAAAATAATATTATCGTTCTACAAATAGAAAACTGAAATATTAAGAAAATTTCAAAAAAATTTCTTTGGGCCTCGATAAATATGAGCAGGCAAGAGTAAGTGGCAAGTTCGAATAGCTAGCCGCGACCAATGAGAAAGGAAACTAATACGGGAAAGTCTGTGCCATTCTGTAGCACAACTAGTTCTTTATTGTATTTGGACACAAAATAATAAAAAACTGAAAATGAGCAAGGCGGACAGAAAAAAAGAAAACGTTTGTAGCTAGCGAACTCTAAAAACGAGCTTTCATGTTTTGATGAAAAATTCGAGTTTTTCATATGGACGAGAAATTACTCACCTTACTGGCGTCCAAGGGGCTGTCGCTAAGGTGTACTACAGGACCGGGATGTGTTTTTCGGCACCTGGAACACATTACAACATTTCATCAGACAAACATCACAATTGGAGAGGAGAAAGTATTTGAGCTTCGCTTTACATAATTTTCATTCATGATTGGTCATTTACGTACGGATTTAGAAGTAATTGTTTGTACAGGTCAAGATATTATTATTCAATTTTTTTCCAGTTTGTAAGATATTATGAACGAATAAAATAATTTTTATTCTATAGTTTTGTGTAATTTCGCATTTTTACGTGTTAAAACTATAATTACAAATTTCTTACAAAATTCGTAAAATTTATAGAATTTTGACTCGTCGAAACGCAAGAATTGAGATTGACAATACAGTTTCTAGAGTCCATTTTCTGTTTAAAAGTCAATGTAATACACCCCATCTTCACTTTCTGATCTTCGCCATGATTGTCAAATTTACCTCCTAATTCTCGAAAATCGCATACTCAGAATCAAGCATGAGCGGATATTTGCGAAGCAAAAGTAATAACTACAATGCGCTTGTAAATGTTGCATAGAGCCTAGGTATAAATCGATCGAAGTCTGATAAATATTTTTTACAGTCGCATTGCCCTTCTTGCCTCCCTCCGAGAAACACGTCTCTCTGACAGGGATGAATAATTCGGAACTTTTTTTTTAAAATACCGAACGCTCGGTAATGGGAAAACTACTTATGAAGCGAGCAATAGGTGGTAACTGTTTACATTGATTGGTGATTCCGGTCATGCCAACTGATAAAGTCATTAGTGTCATAAGTGGAGGTGGTGGTGATCTTCCCCTGCTGGATGGTAAGATCCGGCGCTGACCTATCGTCGGCTAGAGGGGTTTTCCTCAACCAGGTATTTCCCACCAGCGGGCACCGCCCCAGCCGGGACAAGCTCCAAGCTTCCGACTGGTCTCATGGCGGTAGTGTAGTACATGCAAGTGAGTGTGTGTAAGTAAGGGGGGAGGATAGGACAAGGAATGGGAAGGAAAGGTCGCGCGCGTTTCTTAGCCCGTTTGTTAGGGTACTGCTCCAGCATTATTCTGCCATTGATCGGAAGAACCACGGAAAACTACCGATGAGAGCAGCCGGCCAATCGAATTCTCCAGTTAGCGACAGAACTCGACCTAGCTTTCTAGCTAGTGTCGAAAATCCTGCCACCGTCGGGACTCGAACTTTAGGACCTCCCGGTCAGGACACTGAAGTGACATCAGCTGATGCCCTGAGGCACCTCGCACGGTAATTGGTTTAATTAACTAAATTTAATTACGAATGAATGTTGAAGAATAGCCACCTCATCCACCTTAGGCTGCGCGTTACGACTGTCCACAAGCGCAAAGAACCCTCGTGATTGACATTCTTAAGTACCCCCAGATATTTCTCACGAAGCTTGGAAAAGCGTGGAGCATTCATTTGACCACTTCTAAGGTCTTATCGACGTTTTTGTGTTCGAAAAATGCTTTGAGATATTTTAAACACTATCACGTCCCCATATTTTACACATTTTCAATCTTTTCTTACACATTACCGTATCCAAGGTGTATTTTACGTGTTCGAAAATAAACATACACTGGCTTGGCGTGACGCTTCCGGCGAGTATTTTCAAGTTAAAAAGTTTTATTTACGCGTTGCCAGTTCGTAATAAAATTTTAAACATATACAGCTAACAGCTTGTCTATTTTCGGGCAACAGAAAGTTTAATTAAAAAATATCGATTAAAATACTTGTTTAAAATTTCGTTTCATTACAAAATTAGGTTTCATTATTGACCATCTAATGAATCAGGTCGTAATAATTCATGTAAATGTCGGAAAGAATATAGAGCGTTTCAGTGATGAAATCTACTCGTACAACCAACGATCTGGCTTTTTGGAATTCAATTTTTTCTCCGCTTTCCAGATTTGAGAATATACATTTTCCAGGTCCCGTTTCGCACATTACAATACATTGTATTCTATTCATTACCAAATCATATTACGTTTTTCAAGCATTTCTCTTTTCTTATCGAGTACTAAAGTACAGAATTTTTTTTACAAAAAACGAACTTTAAAGAAAACTGAATATTATTTTGTAACATTCGTTCCCTAGAAATACAAAAGAATCCTAGACTTCGTTGGAAATGTTTAAGAGTGTATTTTTTTTTCAGTCAGAAAGTCGATCTCGGGACTGATGTCAATCCTAGGTTTAAGGCTTAGTATTCCTTACAGCGGTTTGGGAAACACAGTATTTGGCCCGACCGCGAATAACATTAGTTTCCAACATGCAAGTAGAAAGCAAGTTTTTTTCAAAATGGGAAATCCGGTATTCCGCTCTCGACATGACTAAACAGACCTCACGAATTTATAGGATAACTATATATTACCCGAATAGTATTAAAATGTTCAAATGTTTTCACACTTTCCTACTAATAGGACATAATTTATGACAATCTAATGATTTAATGAATTCACGGGTTTAGAACATGAAAACAATGAATTTGAAGACCATGGCCGTTTGTGTAGTTTCTCCTCTTGCATTAAGCATTAACGTAGTAACATGAGGTTAGATAACAAGAAAACAATATTATTTTATATTTCACATGCTCACAAAAAGTGGCGCTTAAGAACATTGCTTAAACAACTTTTCCTGAAGAACTGATATGGAATTGATAGGTCTTTGAATATTTGGGAAATTATTGAACAGTGTGTGCTGAACTTCAAGGGTTTTGGATGTTCTACCGGAATATCTTCACTCCCAGGTGAAGATGCGGAGAACATGTTTTGTAGATTATATTTTAAGAGAGGTGTACGAAAACGTTGGGTGATGTGCCTTCTATGTTCACTCTGGGCTCATGTACGGGGGCGGAAAAAGTTCCATATATGTGCATTTGAATATACAGACTGTGTGCAAGACACCCAAGACAATTTCTTATTTATAAGATGTTAAACTCGTATTTTTGTAAATTATACTGAACTCAATCTATTTGCAGTTTTTTTGAAAATTTAGTTTTACCCATCTCTTAAATCGTTTGAGGGGGCTCATCACTAGCTCTCACTCACTATCTTTAAAAGAGATTTTCCCCCAAAAATGTTCAATTCTACTATTAGGAGACTGAAAAACTGAGAAAACGTGGAAAACTTCCTTTTTTCCGTCGATAGGTAGCAGCTGGGAAGAGAGTGGGGCAATATCGGAAAGTTAGACGAATTAAACGAATAGAAAAGTAATTTATGCGGGAAAGTCTTTGCCATTTTGTAGAGCCCCTAATTTAGAAAAGCGAACTTTTCTGTTAGAGAGACGAGAGACTGTACGCATGCGGCAATATAATTGTCTCCTTGGGGAATGAATTAGAACGATTCAGAAGCTGAAAAATATATTTGTCCTTAAATGCGGAAACAATGTCAATCTACTTAAAATATAACAGCTATTCAGAATTGAATTGTAACATTGCAGCAAACCTCTGTAGGGGGTTATAAATGAACGTACGAGCCTTGAATCGTCATTTCTACTGCAAATGTGTCGGTGAAACGTAACGAGGCGAGGCGAGGAATATTTGTCATTCACAAAAATGACGATCGTCAAGACCAATTTGACGAGGCTTGGTGAAATCGGCGTTAGCACTGGAACACACTGCACACTGATTATATTGTGCCAATGTCTCTGAGTTAGTGTCAATACCTCCCAAATCGTGGGCTAAGAATAGGGTGTACTCGTATTTCCAGGTGCGCAACCTGGTTAGATTATGCAGTTTCTTCTTTCTCCCTGTCAAATCGGACACTGTCACTTGCATACACTTTGCACAATACGATGACGTACGGGTATTTGTGAGAAAAGTTTGCGATAAATCTGTACATAACGAACATAACGACGTTTTTAACTATAATTCCCGTTTTTCTAAAAATTTCCAGGCTTTCTCTAATTCCCATTTTTTTCTGTTTTCAAGAACTCCATGTTCACTGACCACCCTGTACGAGTCCTTGTCGCAAATAAAGTGAAGAAGTAATATTTATTTCTTGAACGCTCGACACGCTTATCACGAGAGAAGATAGTTCGTGAGAGCCCATCGAGGTGGCAAACGAATTTTTGACTTGGATTTTCACTTGAACAGTGTGTAACGTGAAATATAATTTAACAGATTCCACTTCAGCACAACGGCAAGCGTTAATAAATAGCTGCACGCCACCACTTCCTCCCGCTTGGAGATTCTTTGAGGCCGATTATAGCGCAGCTGCCTTCCTTGAGCGTCTTCGGAAGGCGAAGCGGGGGCGAGGCATCAAAGCAGGTCACCGGCCACGTCTCGCGCTTTACGGCCCGGGAATGCAGAAGCGCCCGGGGCCCAGGGGGCCGGGGGGCGGGGCACCTGGAGCAGAAGGGCGACCTGCTCCTCCTCCCTTCCCCCTCCCCGGGGGCAGAAGCGCGCGTTCATAAAGCGCAGCCTCCTGTTGAGCGCGCGCCGGCCGCGGCCGTTAAACAGAGAAAACACTTGGACGCCGGCGACGATTGCCTCGGAGAAGCTGTAAAGCGCCTTTACAGGCCTCTATGACGTCCCGAGCAGCTGGCTGCCGGCCGACAGGCGAGGACGGCTTGCACGGGGGAGACTGTGCAGAATGAGGCGGCGGTGAATGGACGGAGGAAATTGCGCCACGGCGCGGGGTTGCGAAGAGGTGGAGGCGGGGGCGCGTGACGAGAAATAAGTAAGAGATACACCGGAAGGTGAGGATGGCCATGCAAGAGGGCGGTGAGGCGGAGGATGAGGATACGAGTGAACGTCGAGGAAAGGTAAACGAAAGAACAGTTGGGCAGAAAAGTACGATGAGAAATGGAGGGGGTGGAAATGGGGTAGTTGGATACAAATTCGACACAACTGAAGTTACCGGAAACTAGAGGAGACGCAGAATTTAAAATGGCCGCGAGTCAGAAGGGGAAAGATATCGACACTACATGATCAAAGACGTAAAAGAGGACACACGTGGACACGTAGGCACATTGGTAATGCGGGAGAGGTTGCCGATGACCAGGCAGGAGGTAGAGGAAAAGGCGAAGAGGGCGAC